CCCAAGGATCTCGATCTCACAAACCCATGATGAGAACAGTCTAATCATCAAGGGCGAAGTCAACGGAATGATGTGTAAACTGACCATAGACACTGGAGCCTCTCGTACGGTTGTTAGTTCCCAACTTATGAGACAGTTCCTTGGGGACTCCGCATACTACCGAGAACGCATTAATTTGGTAACAGCCACCGGTCAGCGTATACCCGTCCGTGGAGAGAAGGAGATGGAGTTGAAGCTAGGCAACGTGACCTACCTGCATAATGTCATCGTGGCTGATATAATGGACGACTGCATCCTGGGCCTAGACTTTATGAGGAATAACTGTTGTGAGATCGACGTTAAGCAAGGTGTTTTGACATGTGGACAGGAGGAACTTTTTATGGAAGGTGCGTTACCAGGGAACGTGTACAGCATTAAGAAGATTGTTCTTCCGCCGAGATCGGAAACGATTGTTCCGGTTAGTCTTCCTCGAAACGCTGGGCAAGCTCACCGTTGTGTACTTGTGGAAAGTGTAAACAATAACCTTCCATGGAAAGTAGCTCGAACCTTAGTCAGAACCACTGACATCTCAGGAGTACGTGTGCTGAACCTTTGTGACCAGAAACAGATTATAGAAAAACGCACGCTGGTTGGTACTTGTGAGGAAGTGGATTGGTTACGTCGGTGCCAATATCCATCGAGTGAGACCCCCAGCAAGGATGCACAAACGAGAGTGACAACACTTTTGGAAGACTGTCGCAGCGTTCTCTCCCCGAACGAAATGGTCAATGCGAAGAAGTTGTTACTCAAGTATGCCGATGTATTCTCATCAAGCGATGCTGACATAGGGAAGACTGGCTTATTTCAACACAAAATAAATACAGGAGAAGAGTTGCATATCCGTCAGCGGCCAAGAAGATTGCCGGTAGCACGTGAAAAGGAAGTGGAAACCGTGATTGAAGGAATGATGAAGGATGGTGTTATTGAACCTTCCTCTAGTTCATGGTGTTCACCCGTGGTGCTGGTAAAGAAGAAGGATGGCAGCATGCGGTTTTGTGTTAACTACCGCCGTCTGAACGACGTTACGAAGAAGGACAGCTATCCCTTGCCAATAATTGATGACACACTGGACATGCTTACAGGAGTAAAGTGGTTTAGCACGCTGGATCTAAAAAGTGGCTACTGGCAAGTTGAAATTGACCCTAAGGACAAGGAGAAAACTGCGTTCTCGACGGGAAAGGGTCTGTGGCAATTTACAGTAATGCCGTTTTGGTTGTGCAATGCTCCAGCAACGTTTGAAAGGCTGATGGAACTTGTACTTACCGGGCTAATTGGCGATGCCTGTCTGGTCTAATTGGATGATATCATCATCGTAGGCCGTACGTTTGAGGAACGCCGGAACGCGTGCTCATGAAGATCTAGAGTACCAACCTCAAGTCGAGTCCGAAGAAATGTTCACTGTTCAAACGGTAAGTTAACATTTTGGGGTATGCAGTATCGGAAGGTATCCGCACGGATCCAGAGAAAATCGCCGCTGTCAAGGATTGGCCGGTTCCAAAAGACAAGACGCAGGTTGGAGCATTTTTGGGTTTGTGCTCCTATTACCGGCGATTTGTGAAGAACTTTGCAGATGTAGCGAAACCTCTGCATAAGCTAACCGAGGAGAAGCGACATTTCTGCTGGGATGAAAGTTGCAATATCGCATTCCAGGAGCTCAAGGACCGTCTGTGCAAAACACCTATTTTGGGATACCCTGATGCAAGCAAAGAATTTATAGTTAACACAGACGCAAGTGATACCGGACTCGGCAGTGTGTTGTCTCAACGGAACGATGATCGAGAGGTTGTGATAGCGTACTTTAGCAAGTCGTTGTCAAAACCGGAAAGGAACTATTGTGTCACAAGACGCGAATTGCTAGCTGTGGTAAGGTCGTTGCAGCATTTTAGCAAATATCTTCTGGGGCAGAAATTTCACTTACGAACTGACCATGCTGCACTAAAATGGCTATTACAGTTTAAAAATCCAGAAGGACAAGTTGCGAAGGTGGATTGAACTACTGCAAAAATACGACTTTGAGATCGAACATCGCAGCGGGAAATCTCACGGCGACGCAGATGCATTGTCAAGAAGACCTTGTCCTGAAGATTGCAACCATTGTACTAGGCAAGAGAGTAAAGAAGTGGTATCCGTGAGGATGCTCAGGACAGACCACCTCAGCAACGAGTGGAAGGGCAGCTTACTACATGCACAGCAGGAAAATCCGGACATCAAGCCGATTCTGGAGCGACGTCTCAGCGATTAGTTCGACCACTAAAAGATATTGGGGCCAATGGGGCAACTTGCTTCTTCAGGATGGAGTTCTGTGCCGTAAATTGGGAAAATGTTCGGGGCGACAGCTGTCATTTGCAAATGGTCGTCCCTAAAGCTAGAGTACCGGATGTTCTACAGCTGTACCATAATGATTGTTCAAGAGGCCATCTGGGAGTTAAACGAACTCTACTGAAGATCCGAGAACATTTTTGCTGGGTCCACTGTCGAAACGATGTCGAAGACTGGTGTCGCAAATGTACAAGTTGTGCGGCTGTAAAGGGACCTAAAACTCGTAGTAGAGGTGCATTGAAGTTGTAAAATGTTGGTGCACCATGGGAGAGAATAGCCATTGACGTGGTGGGGCCGTTACCGGAGAGTGAAAGCGGTAACAAGTATTTTATGTTTGTGATGGATTACTTCACTAAGTGGCCAGAATCTTCGCCATTCCAAATCAAGAAGCTTCAAAAGTTGCAGATAAACTAGTTCATGAAGTCTTCTGTCGTTTTGGAGTACCTTTAGAGATTCACAGCGATCAAGGAAGGAATTTTGAGTATCAAATATTCCAGGAAACTTGCCGAGTTATGGGCACTCATAAAACAAGAACGACTTCTTATCATCCGCAATCTGATGGAATGGTAGAACGATTTCATCAGACATTGGAGAAGTACCTATCAAAAGTTGTAGACAATCGGCAACGAGATTGGGACAAGCACATATAACCGTTTTTGTTGTCATATCGAAGCGCAGTTCACGAAAGTACATCAGTGACACCAGCTTTCGCAAACTTTGGGAGAGAATTACGGCTGCCTGCAGACCTGATCACCGGGATACCACCTGATGCCCCTCGCAGTATAACCGATTATGCAAATGACTTGCGGAACAAAATGAATGACATTTATGAGCACGTCAGACAATCGGGCCAGCAAATGTCTGAAAAGATGAAAACCCGGTACGACTGCAAAATGAACAACAAAGGGTTCGACGAAGGTTCACTAGTGTGGTTGCACAATCCAGTCCGCAGCAAAGGGAAATCTCCTAAGCTTCAAGCTAAATGGGACGGCCCGTACCGGATTGTGACCAGGATCAACGATGTAACCTACCGGATACAGAAAGACGCAAGAGGGACTCCTAAGATCGTCCATGTGGATCGCCTGGCATGTTATTATGGGGCCGATAATGCTCGGGACGAGCATGTCTTAGGAGGGGGCAGTAATGCGCGGCTAAGTTGACATCTGGCACTAGCGCCATCTAGTGTTGGGTAATAGAGCGAGGAGAGAGCTTTCCAGAAAATGACATGACTAATCTTTCAACCGACAGCGCTATCTAGTATCGAATTGAAGAACTAAACTTTCTAGGAGCTCTACACTCGAACTTTCGGCGCCTGGTCGGTTGGCGTGCGTATTTACTTGAATATTCTGGATGTTTCGGTGATAATGTGTATTTAAAGGCGCTGCAATACGCGATCGGGGAGTATTGAATTTGGCGAGACAAGCGAAGCTTCGGAGCGAAATAAAGTGAATCAGTGTGATTAATTATTAGTGTTTTTTTTTAAAATATAATTGATGTAAAGTAAATAAAAGTGTTAATTTTGGTAATTCAATCGGCAGTTTTTATTGTCACGAACCCTAAGCTCGTAACACTATTAATGCTGGTGTTCCACAGGGCTGCGTGATATCGCCAATTCTGTTTCTTCTTCATATCAATGACATGTTGCAAACCCGTAACATTCATTGCTATGCAGATGAGAGCACTGGTGATGCTCTGTACACCGGCCGTGCCAATATTTCTCGGGAAAACGTCTCCGTGTACCGGGAAAAACTTGTGTCTGAAGTCGAGTCTTTGCTTAACAAAATCTCAGATTGGGGGCGACTAATTTAGTCCAGTTTAACTCTCAGAAGACACAAGTTTGCGCGTAAACCGCTAAAATTAACCCCTTTGTCGTATCTCCTCAGTTGTAAGACACTCCCCTTGTTAACTAAGCCAGTATCGGAATCCTCGGCGTCGATATATCGAGTGACGTGAGTCACTTGGAAGAGAAGGCCAAATTGGCCTCTAAAAAGCTTGGCAAGCTCAGCAGTATTTCATGCCGGCTCACCGCCTACACCTTTACAAGGCTCAGGTTCGGCCACACATGGAATAATGTTCCCATCTCTGGGCTGGGGCTCCCCAGTGCCAGCTCCATCCGTGTGATCGCATCCAGCGTAGATCAGCTTAAATTGTCGGCGACCGAGCTCTTTCCGATCGGCTTGACTCACTGGCACTACGAAGAGATGTTGCATCTCTTTGCGTATTTTATCGCATCTACCACGGAGAGTACGCTGGGGAATTGTTCGGACTAATTCCAGCCACACAATTTCGCCATCGCACATAGCGACAAAACTCGCGATACCATCCATACCATCTGGATGACTGGCGGTCCATCACTGTGCGATTTAAAAGAAGTTTTCTTCCTCGCACAAGTTCCTTGAGGAATCAAATACCACCAGAGATTTTTCCGGACCGATACGACTTAGGGACCTTCAAGAAAAGAGCCTATTCCTTTTTTAAAGGCCGGCAACATATCTGCAATCCCCCTGGTGTTGCAGTTGTTCATGGGCGGCGGTAGTCACTTACCATCAGGTGAGCCGCATGCTCGTTTGCCCCATCTCCTATAAAAAAGCAAGGGCTCTCAATGTAAACTCATAAATTTTGTCCGTTTTTACGTATTACAGTACCCCCCGATCGCTTCCCTATGCCACCATTGCCTCCAGTAGCACCGGATACAATGACGGCGGATGCTCAAGGCTTACAAAGAAATCCAGGTATTGTGTCACGATCTTATGTAGTTTTAAGATAAATAATTTTTATAATTCCTTATATCATCATCATCTCATTACATTCCGTCAATAGTCTAAAGTTAACATTAGCCTCCATCATTGATTGAAACAAAAGACTGAATCTTATTCTAATCAAACTACATCCATCTCCTAGATCTTCACTTCAATTAGTGGGAAAGGTATCCTACTAAGTATGTGATTTGTAGTACACGGTGACTTAAAACCACGTTTAAGTAATGTTCATGCGGGACTTGCCGATTATTGTGCGGTGTGTTTTACTTAAGTCACGCATAAAATTAATAATATTTTATAATATTTAAAAGGTTAAAAATTTATTGAAACTAAATAATGACTGCAGAATAATAAAACTTTTATTAGTTACATCTATTAGAGTACTTAAAATTACAAACAAAACATTAAATTATTTGTTCAAGAAATATAAACAAAATGAATTGTATTTTTAAAGTATTTTTTTAAAATACAATTACTATTAATTCCAATTACCGCCACACTACAATTGCTAAAAAATAAGACTAATCATTTACATATAAGCCAATATCTGGATAATACAAAACTTCTGTAAATCGAGTCTCGTTGCACCTTTGGTCCCGTTTAATTAAATCTTTAGATGGATGTTGTAATTCTTGCCATTGGTCCCGTTTAATAAAATCAATAGATTGATATTGTTATTCTTGTACAGAGAGATTATTAATGCCTTCCTTGCTCTATACGATTTTTGTCTTTATAATTATTTACTATTCTACAATTTTTCATTTAAAAAAGTGGATTTAAGGCACTTGTACTATAAAATTATGTACGATATACAAAACTTAAGTAACCAATTATTACAACGTGTAAAATAAGTGCACTCGCTTCGCTCGTCCGCTAAATTCACACGGTTCAATAATCCGCTACTTAAGTCCCGTGTATCTTAATGTACTACGAGTATTATAATTTATAACCTATAGATTTTTTGTATATAAAAATGTATAGCTAGTGTCAGTTAATAAAATCGATGCATTTGACACTAAACTTTATTCTATGCATTTAAGCCTAAAAATAGTGCAGTGTGTGATTAAGTACTCTGATCTTCTTCTGGTTGATTAATGAAATAGAAGTTGGCAATACTTGGCGCCTTTACAGACGGCTTAACTTACATACAGCCTAAGCATAAGTCAATTTAAGTTTGCCTGCATCGTACCTAACTTGTAGTCGTTACACTATGCAGTAAAAACGTTATAATTTAAACTTGCACAAGTAACACACGTTTGCTAACAAAACCTACAAATTCAAATATAGCTTCACCAATTTATTTAATAAAGAACAGATTGCTACGCAAAAGTGAGTATCATAAATTTCTAAAAGGACACGCCAACATTTACGCCAAATCAGTATATATTAAGGCAATAAGGTTTATTTTATATTATAATATATGCTATGGCCAATAGATAGATACCTATATAAATTTTCCTCAATTAAAAAACGAAACACGTGTGCCTTAGCTAATATGTAATCCCGATAATAAATAACTATGGTTCATTCATTAAGGCTTGTTACACTGCCATCTCGTATTTAATACGTAAAATAGTACTTTAGCTATCGATTCCAAAAAACAAAACTTACAAAAAGTACCGCAGATGTCCCTAGATGTCAGTTTTATAAAACTTGACGATAAGGATACTTCACTATCCGGGACGTACAACGATACTTTTGTTTTGGCTAACGTAGTATCCATGGACGTTTCAGTGGATAAAGGACTAATAAACAGAATCGCCTATTCTCGACATTCGTCATTCGAAACAAAGCAGCACTATGCCGCTTTTTGATTTTTAATGCAATTATTTAGGCGACATTATACTTGTTACCTGAAAGTTGTTGAATTTCTTACTTAATTCACATAGGTTAAAAAAATCTTTTAATAAACATATTATTATAAAAATAAAAGTGGACTTTTATTTATTTTCCTTTTTTCTTTATTTATTACTCGAGACATCTATCGTTACAGGTCCTACCCGATACGATAGTGTCCTCTTTTTTTTAAACGACTTCTAAAAAGTGGAGGTATTCAATTCGACTGTATATTTTTTTTCATGTGTGTTACTTTAGAACTTTTTTCTAGATGAACAGTTTTTGATGAATATTTTTTTATTTGAAAACAGGTGCTTCCTGTGAGTACTTTTTTTGAGTTATCCTTAATAATGCGTATTTAATTGACTTCGAATACATTTATGTTGTTCTTATTTTATTTATACTAAATTTAGTTGTACAGAATGATGTTGTGACCAGTATTAAGAAAGGAATGCTTCGGTGGTTTGATCATGTAGAAAGAATAAGTGAGGAAAGAGTGACAAAGCAAATTTATATGGCAGATATGGTGAACGGCAGAGTCGGGAAGGGACGCCCTAGAAGAAAGTTTATCGACCAAATTGGCGATATTTTGAAAATGGGCCACGTTAGATATACCCTTAACCGACGAGCATGTGTGCCTAGATATATGGATGTAAAGGAGGCGAAGGAGGTATGTCAAGATCGTGCCAAATGGAAGTCCGTAATCTCTGCCTACCCCTCTGGGTGTCAGGCGTGAGTGCTTATGTTAACTTTTAATTTTGCTAAACAAACTAATAGAAATAATTGAACATTAAACAGAAGCCGTAATAGTTCAGATGGTTAGGGCTCGCTGTAACTTTCACAGTACGCGAGCAACCCGGATTCGATCCCTGCCTTCAACAATGAAATTGTTAATTGCATATTCATATCTTAGACATCCACATTTATTATCACTTACAAATCAAAATGCAGATGCATTGTCACCCCTTAGAACTATTTATTTATTTATTTTATCTTCAAGGGAAACATAAATAATTTTAGTCTATTACATAACACATATTAATCTTACATTTAACAATAAAGTTTCCACTGTTAAATAACGCATCGACAACAAGCGAACACCATGACAAACTTAGGTGTGCAAAAACTAAAGCGAAGTTAAGTCAAAGTAAAGTGTGATATTTAAGTAAAATGATAATTTAGCTATTAATTTAACTATTATCCATTACGGCTTCAATTTCCTTCTTAAACTGTCCGTATGACAGAGAAAATATATCTACATGTGAAAAGTTTTTATCATAAGAATTACATGCACGAGTTATAAAATTGTTCTTGCCATATTTTGTGCGCATGGTGGAAGTACAAAATAAAAGTTTCTTTCTAGCACTAATCCTTTGGCATCTGAAACTTATTTCATTTAGAAGTGGTATGGAGTCGACCCTATTATGAATGATTTTATATAAAAACCTCTGATCCCTGACAGTACGGCGAGATTTTAGGTCGAAAGCTAGTCTACACCAAATAGAGGCATCGCCGGCTAATCTAAATTGAATATGCTTCAGAAAATTTTTGTGAATCTTTTCAATTGACTCTATATAAATATTATATTGGGGATTCCAAACTGTTGAGCAATATTCTAATATTGATCGGACCAACTAATATGGAATGCCTCGTTACCAGACAAAAAGGTCTTCGGTACTCTTCTCTCACCATAAGGTACATCAGCATTATTCTGATGTTTCACTTTGGTATTTTGTTTTGAGAGCGTGGTCCTTCCCCGATCAAGTGACCGCCTCTTGCCGCTGCCATATATAGATGGATGCTAGTTCTTTTTACATGCATACGGTTTTTGGCACAACGACGTGCCGTGAAATAATTAATGCACATACAGCATAAGCTCTTACAAATCAACGCTTATATTTCTTTTATTTACAAAATAATAATTAATCCACATACGTCAATGGCGCTCAATGATAACTCATACATTTTTTCGTTTTTACGTGGTATTAGTACCCCCTGAACGCTTCCCTATGCCACCATTGCCTCCAGTAGCACCGGATACGATGACGGCGGGTACTCAAGGCTTACAAAGAAATCCAGGTATTTTTATCACGTTCTTATAAAGTTGTAAGTAAAGACATTCTTATAATTTCTTATATCATCATCATAATTACATTATACAGCCAATCACGAGTACGAAGTTAACATTAGCCTCCGTCATTAATTGCAACAAGAGACTGAATCTCATTCTAATCAAACTACATCCATCTCCAAGGTCTCCACTCCACTTAGTGGGAAAGATATCCTTCTATGTGATTTGCGGTGAAACTGCCACTGAAGACATAGATTTATGGCCTATAGATATTCTCATGTATATTATACACTAGTGTCGGTTGATAAAAATTTGACATTTGACACAAATTTTATTATATGCATTTAAGCTTAACAAAGTGCAGTACGTGAATAAGTCCTCTAATGTTCTTTTAGTGGGTTTGTGAAATAGAAGTTAGCATTACTGCGCCTTTACAGACGACTTAAAAAGTCAATTTAAGTTCGCCTGCACCGTGCCTAGCTTTACCTACTCGTTCTACTCGCAAGAACGTTATATTTTAAATTACTCGCACAAGTCAATAAACCACGTTTTCTTACAAAACTTACGAATTCAAATATTGCTTTACCAATTTATTTCATCATCACCATCATCATTACAGCCCTTCACAAGTCCACTGCTAAACATAGGCCTCCCCCAAGTAATGCCACAAAGAATCGGTCCTGAGCCACCTGCATCCATCGACTTTCGGCATGTCTTACCAGGTCATCACTTCATCTAGTGGGGGGACGCCCTACACTACGCCTACCGATACGAGGCTGCCACTCGAGAACCTTTCTTCCCCATCGGTTATCGGTTCTTCGAGCTATATGGCCGGCCCATTGCCACTTCAGCTTACTAATCCGTTAGGCTATGTTGGTCACTCTGGTTTTACTGCGGATATGCTCATTTCTGAGTCTATCACGCAGAGAAACTCCGAGCATAGCCCTCTCCATAGCTCGCTGAGCGACCTTGAGCGTCCTCATACGGCCAGCAGTGAAGGACCACGTCTCAGATCCGTAAGTCCTCACTGGCAACACGCACTGGATGTACAATCTAGTTTTTAGAGATTGAGGTATACCTGACGAGAAGATATGTCGTAACTTCCCGAACGCTGCCCAGCCGAGTTGAATCCGTCGATTGACCTCTCGGTCGAAGTTGGGCTTACCTATTCGGACTATTTGTCCCAGGTAAACGTACTCGTCAACAACTTCGAGCATAGTGCTCCCAACAACTACCGGCATAAGTGTGACGTGGACATTAAACATTATCTTTGTTTTGTCCATGTTCATTTTAAGACCTATCCGTTATTCGTTATAGATATATATATAGTAGTATACATATAGTCCTTATGGCAGTATCGCTGGAGGACCTAAGCACTATTGAGAGAGGTCAATTGACGGATTCAACTCGGCTGGGCAGCGTTCGGGAAATTTCGACACATCTTTTCGTCAGGTATACCTCAAAACCTGAAAACCGGATTGTACAACCAGTGTGTGTTGCCAGTGATGACTTACTGGTCTGAGACGTGGACACTCAAGGTAGCTCAGCGAGATATGGAGAGGGCTATGCTCGGGGTCTCTCTATAAACTTAGAAATGAGGATATCGATCGATATAGGACAAAGAAATCTTTTATTAAAAAATAATAATTATAAAAAGTAAAAGTGGGCTTTTATTTATTTTATTTTTTGTTTCTTTATTTATTACTTGAGACATCTATCCTTACAGGTCTTACTCGATGCGATAGTGTCCTCTTATTTCAACAGACTTCAAAAAGCTGGAGCTACTCACTTCGACTGTATGTTTTTTTATGGATGCTACCTCAGTTTTTTTTTAGGTGAACCGATTTTAATGATTTTTTTTTAAATTGAAAACTGGTGCTTCTCGAGTTGTTTTATATGAACATGATCAACATTTGAGCAGTAGTTTTTGAGTTATCCTTAATAATTCGTATTTAATTGATTTCGGATACATTGATAATGTTCTCATTTTTTACATTGAATTCTGTGTTTCAAATTTTTTGAAATTTACTCATACATTTTTTTCTTTTATACGTGGTATTAGTACCCCCTGAACGTCCACCCATGCCACCACTGCCTCCAGTAGCACCTGAAACAATGATGGCAGGTACTCAAGGCTTACAAAAATATCCCATGCCACCATTGCCTCCAGTGGCTCCTGGTAATATGACGGCGGGTACTCAAGGCTTACAAAGAAATCCAGGTATTTTTATGATGTTCTTATAAAGTTCTAAGTATAATCATTTTTATAATTTTTTATATCATCACCATTAGAGTTTACAGCCCATCACAAGTCCGAAGTTAGCATTAGACTCCGTCATTAATTGAAACAAAAAGAGGGATCTTAATCTAACCAAACTTCATCCATCTCCTAGATCTTCTCTCCACTTCATGGGAAAGATATCCTACTGTGTGATTTGTGGTCTAACTGCCAACCGAGATATAGATTTACAGTCTATAGACTTTCTTGTATATATAATACATATAAAATAAAATATGTAGTAGTACTACTGTCGGTTATAAAAACAATGCATTTGACACTAATGTTATTTATTCTATGCATTTAAACTAATAATAGTGCAGTGTGTGATTAAGTCCTCTAATCTTCTTTTAGTGGGTTATTGAAATAGTAGTTGGCTTTACTGCACCTTTACACAGACAGCTCATGGCTCAACTAACATACAGCCTAAGGATAAGTCAATTTAAGTTTGCCTACACCGTATCTATCTTGTACTCGTTCTACTCACATGTAGTTCGATTCTTCAAATAAACTATGCCACAAGAACGTATATTTTAAATTACTTCCACAAGTCAATAAACCACGTTGCTCACAAAACTTACAACAATTTATTTTTATTACTAACAAATTCAAATATAGCTTTACCAATTTATTTAATGACGAACAGATTGCTACACAAAACGTGAGCATCATAAATTACTGCAAGCACACACGAACATTTACGCCAATATCAGTATATACGAAAGCGATAAATTAGGGGAAGGTGGGGGGACACCGGATAGTTAAGAAAAAGACACAATAAATAAATCACTATGTTATTTATTGAGATAATCAATATCACAAATGTATACCTTTGGCATAGCTTTGATATGAAAATATTTGAGATCAATTTTAATTACTACAAACTAGATCAATTTTAATCAAAAATTACAAATCCGAATTCACCCCACACCTATGGGTCAAATGGGATAGGCATTTTATATTACAGGGGTGAATACAGATACTAACAAAACAAAGTACTCAAATTATTCGCAGTTTTTGCATACAAAAAATAATAATTCTTGCTCAGAACAACCAATGCAACTTTCGTGACTCCATTCAAGACAGGCGGTGCATTCATCTGTGGACTTAGTTTGACTATACTTTTCACCACAAAACCAAACACTCCAAATCCTCTTGATTGTTTTCTTTATTAGTCTTTTTCCCGATACCTTTACCTTTGCCTTTAAATTTTATTTTCATAACTGATTACGTAGTTTTCCAGCTAGTTCATTTTTATACCGCGATTCAGTCAAATTCGCTGTTTTTCCTTGACGCGTCGATGGCCGGATGTTCTTTTTAAAATGAGAAATCGGCATGAAATCATTCGGTGATACAAGACTTATAGAATCTGAAAATATTTGTTCTTCTGTAGATGTTCCTGCTTGCGGAGGGAGATTTAATTTGTGGTTGGTACAAATGATATTTCTGTTGTCTGTGATGGTGCAAAATCTACGTCTGTAAAAATATTGACATTCAGTGGGCAAATTCCGGTTTTGGTGAAAGCAGACACTGCATTTTGCATGGTAGCGGCACGATTATAAGCAGTTCCAAACAAAGATGCAATTTGAAATTGGGTGACAACACGCCCCGGATGATTTCAAAGCCATTACTGGATTTCTTGCGAGTAAAACAGGCTCAACTACCCCATAAAACCAACATCGAGAGGCTGTAAGCGATGCGCATAGTGAGGTGGCAAGCAGAGCATTATGACACCATGAGCACGAGCTAACTCAATAGCTTCTAGGTTTTTAGTGTGTGTGGCATGACCATCTAAAACAAGAAGCACGGGATCTTTTTTTCTTAGTTTTACATAGAAGATAAAGTGGCCCATCCATTCGGCGAAAATATGTTGTTGCATCCAACTACTTGGATTGCATACATCTACTGTGCCTGGTGGTCACCATCTAATAGCTCACTCTTCATTCGTGCTCGAGGAAAAACCATAAGAAGTGGAAAATAATGTCCAGCTGCGGAAAAGCAAAGCATTGCCATCATCCAGTTTCGTCCATGTTATAAATTCGCGTCCATTTGAAAGCGTGCTTAACATAAAGTGTATCCAAAAGATTAAAAAATGGTGACACTACAGACCTACTAAATCTCTTTGCTCTTATAGCTGATGTAGTTTTAGGTGATCTTAGAATTCAGAATGTCATTTCAGAAATCCACCAACCCAATCTAAGCCAGCGAGTCCAGTTTCCTTATTAAAAGGATGGTTTAAATTATTTATATTAATTTACATACAGCAAGGTACCTTAATGTTAACTCATACATTTATTCCGTTTTTACGTGTTAACAGTACCCCCTGAACGCTTCCCTATGCCACCATTGCCTCCAGTAGCACCGATTTCAATGACGGTGGGTACTCAAGGCTTACAAAGAAATCCAGGTATTTTCATCACATTCTTATAAAATAGTAAGTAAAATATTTTTTATTATTTCTATAATACGCGAGGCTATTGAAATTAAAAAACATCCAAATTTCAATAGAGAAGATGGATGGGTGCTGCCATCTACTCGGAATCCTATAATTAACAAAATTAAACCCAAACCCAAGCATACCACTGCAAGGCTTCATGATACTATAAGTTCGTTTTGCGTAAATTGGACCAAAATTAATATTCAAAAAACTGAAGGTAGCCGGACTAACTATGACATTGGGACGTCAAACATCTCAGTCCCCCTCGTGACCATGGGTGCTGTAAAGCACACGAAACGTCGATATAATAAAAATGAGTTATAGTTGTAATTAAAACGCGATAAAATCCGTAAATAATAGTTTTATTCAATATACAGCCTAAGGATAAGTCAATTTAAGTTTGCTACACCGTACCTATCTTGTACTCGTTCTACTCACATGTAGTTCGATCCTTCAAATAAACTATGCCACAGGAACGTTATATTTTAAATTACTTGCACAAGTCAATAAACCACGTTTGCTCACAAAACTTTCAAATTCAAATATAGCTTTACCAATTTACTTAATGACGAACAGATTGCTACGCAAAACTTGAGCATCATAAATTACTACAAGCACACACGAACATTTACGCCAACATCAGTATATACGAAAGCGATAAATTATATTTTAAATTATAAACATAACCTTAACAAGCAAGCACACAGTCTACCTATAAATGTATGCTATGTCTAATATATGGATACATATATACATTCATCCTCGATTAAGAAACGAAAGACATGTACCATGACTACTATGTAATCCCGATACTAATAAATGGGATCACCGCTTCTCGACATTCGTCTTTTTTAAACAAAGCAGCATTACGCCGTTATTTTGATTTTTAATGTAATAATTTAGGAGACATTATAGTTGTAAAACGAAAGTTGTTGAATTCCTTACTTTATTCATATAGGACAAAGAAATCTTTTAATTAAAAATAATAATTATAAAAAGTAAAAGTGGACTTTTATTTATTTTATTTTTTGTTTCTTTGTTTATTACTTGAGACATCTATCCTTACAAGTCTTTCCCGGTGTGATAGTGTCTTCTTATATTTCAACAGACTTCGACTGTAGTTTTTTTTATGGTCGTTATCTCAAAACCTTTTTTTTGGATGAACAGATTTTGATGATTATTATTTTTTTAATTTAAAGCTGGCGCTTCTCATGTGGTATCATACAAATTTGACCAAGATCTGACTGGTGGGCTTTGAGTTATCCTTAATAATGGTATTTAGTTGTGATGGGTAATTAGTTGACTTAGAATACATTGATGATGTTCTCATTTTATGTATATTGAATTTGTTAGTACAAAACTTTTAATTTTACCACTTGTTCATCATAAACCAAATCTTATATTAATAGTATTAAATTTTTCTAAATTATAATTAATTTACATACAGCAAGGTACCTCAATGTAAACTCATAATTTTTTCCGTTTTTACGTGGTAACAGTACCCCCTGAACGCTTCCCTATGCCACCATTGCCTCCAGTAGCACCGGATACAATGACGGCGGGTACTCAAGGCTTACAAAGAAATCCAGGTATTTGCATCACATTCTTATAAATTTGTAAGTAAAATAATTTTTATAATTTCTTATTTGGGGTATCTATATAGTTTTCTCATCTAGTTGGGTTATATAAATATATAATTATAAATTAAAATGAAACGATAAATATACATAAATATCAATAAAATAAAATAAATACAAAAATACATAAATAAATAAAAGCCCAACCAGATGCAAGCCCTCGGCAGGGGAGACCAAACGGCCGAGGGTTAGGAGGAAAGGGAAAGAAACCGGCGGACGATGCGGGCGGTATCGAGAAGCACCGCCTTTTGCATTTGAGCCCGGAGCGATCCGTCACGGAGTCCCAGTCGCCTCAGATGACCCGAGAGGCTAACTGGGATTAGCCCATTCGCAGAGACGACTACAGGAATAATTTCGGCCGGCAGACCACCCCACATATCGGTCACCTCGTGAGCCAGGTCCAGATATTTTGTTCGTTTATCTGTTTCGGCTTTCACGAGGTTCTCGTCATACGGAATGGTAATGTCGACCAAAAATATCCTTGACTGTGCCCGGTCCATCAGCACAATATCAGGCTTATTCGCAAGAATAGTCCTGTCTGTGATGATGGCCCGGTCCCAGTAGAGCCGCGCGTAATAGCGCGGTCATTTTCGAGCACGGCTTCCGGTAGTATTTGTAATACGGCAATTTCCGATCCACGAGACCGTATTTCAGAGCGAGCTCCTGGTGTAGAATTCTGGCTACTAGGTTGTGCCTGTGCAAGTACTCAGAGTTAGAAAGCGCCGAACAACCGGAGATGACATGCCTAAGTGACTCACCGGGATGGCGACAAGCTCGACAGACGTCGATGGTGCATTCCTTTAGGATGTATCTCCGATAGTTGTTGGTCTTAATAACCTGATCCTGTATTGTACAGACAAAACCCTCGGTTTCCCCAAAAAGGTCACCGAAACGTAGCCAGTTGAGGGAGGTGACTGTATCTACGAAGGGATCATGTAGAACCCTGTAGTACCTCCCGTGGAGCTCCTTCTCCTTCCATACGGTCTTCCGGTCGGAAATGCTTTGTACTGCCGGGTCTTGCCATTGCTCGTTGGCTAAGGATAGAGGGGTAAGTCCTTTATCACTAGAAATGACGTCATTATAGAATGGATCATCCGATCTCACCAGGAAGTAATTACGGAGGCTGCACACTTCGCGATTATGCATGGTGAGCGCGCTCAAGAAGCCACGCCCACCATGCTTTCGCGGCAAGTACAGCCTCATTACCGACGATCTCGGATGATGCATCCTATGGGACGTCATGGTAGTGCGGACTTTTCTATCCAGGGCGTTAAGTTCGGTCTGAGTCCACCTGAGTATGCCAAAGGTATACATGAGGACAGGCATGACCCAGCCGTTATATGCGTGTGCCTTATTCACACTGGACAAAAGGCTGTTAAGCACTTTGGTCAAGCGTGCATAAAACGTGTCGCAAACTGACTGTTTCATACCAGCCTCATCGATACCGATGTTCTGTGACATACCCAGGTATCGGTATGTTTCAGCCTCGGAAAGGGTCCTAAGTTGACGGGCATAGATAAGTTTATGCCCTCAGAGTTAGCAACCCTACCCCTCTCAACATGGAGGACCGCACACTATCCGTCCCCAGCTCCATTCCAATAGAATTGCTAAATTCACAAGTGATGTTTAGCAATTCCATAAGATGGGAGCGACTGGAGGCGAATAATTTGAGGTCATCCATATAGAAAAGGTGGGTCACTTTTGTACCTCCTTTCCGAAGCTGAAATCCCCTCCCGGAACCCTCCAGTAAAGTACTGAGAGGGTTCAAAGAAAGGCAGAACCAGATTGGACTCAGACAGTCGCCCTGGAATATACCCCTTCTTATCCTTATGCAGCTTTCCGCAGCCATCATCCGCACGCCTAGATGACAGAGGATCGTACTTCACTGCCCCATACACTGCTCGAGGAAGTCTCAAACTGTACAGTCAATCTTGTACAGCTCGAGGACCCTCTTTAGCCATGTATGGGGCACCGAGTCAAATGCCTTTCTGTAGTCTATCCAGGCGGCGGAGAAGTTCCGACGGTTGCGTTTCACCACTTTGCCAGTGACCGCGTCAATGAGGAGTGGTTCCTTTGTTCCACAACCGCCGCCCCGACATCCATTTTGAGCGCGCGACATCACCTGATTTGATTCCAGGTGACGAGTGATTCTCGCGCTCAAAATGGATGTTAGTGTCTTGTATATGGTCGGCAGACACGTGATGGGGCGGTATTTGCTCGGGTCTGTGGTAACCTTGTCATTAGGAACCAAATGCGTGATCCCAGTAGTGAAGAGGCTCGGGAGCGACTTCTGGTTGAGAGCCTCTTGGAACTGTCGGGCGAGCACAGTGTGACACACCACAAACCCCTTCAGCCAGTAGTGATGCAGCCCGTCGAGTCCCGGACTTTTCCAGTTCGGGGCCCTACGGACCGCCTCAGCTACGTCATCCGGCGTTATAATGACGGGGTCCATGGGCGTTATACTCGCACACTGACTCGCCACAACTTCCGTCCAAGGGCCCTCGCTGTGGTTTATGGGCTCTGACCACAGGCCGCGCCAGAATGCTACAGTGTCGGCCTGATTCGGTGCTGGGCCCGTTCCACTTACCATTGGTCGTTCCAACGAATTATAGAGCCTCTTCTGATCACTCTGGAAAGGACGATTCTGGTTAAACCGTGTCGACCTCTCGGTATATCGCCGAATCCGCTTTCCCCAAGCAGCGATTCTCTGCTTCAGGTCGTCTATGCGCTCCGTCAGTTTTTGCATTATATCCGGCTGGGACAAACTAACATTTATCCCAGCAAATGCCATCCTGACGGTGCGCACAATCCTTGGCCTGTTGTTGCCTGACCTGTAGCATATCAGTCTGTCGATGAGGGACCTAGCCTTTGCGATACGTTCTTCAATTCTTATTCTCCAGGCTGGGATAGCGCTACTTTGTCCAGTAGCGCGTCCAGCCGTGGAAAGTTTGGCGCCTATAATACGGCACACTGCCAGTACAGCGCCAAAAGAATTGAGTCCGTCTCGCAAAGGTCCCGGCTGGCTTCCAAATAGGTCACCAGCATTGGGTTCAGAGCCCTCACGACAGCCCGATTGCGCTTGCTTAGGGCTATGCGGGGAAGTCGCGTAATTTCTTATATTATTACCATCATTACAGTTTACAACATATCACAAGTCTAAAGTTAACATTAGCCACCGTCATTGATTGAAACAAAATACTAGAACTAGTCATTGATTGCAAAAAGAGACTGGATCTTATTCTAATCAAACTACACCCGCCTTCAAGCTCTTTACTCCACTTAGTGGGAAAGATACCCTACTATATGATTTGTGGTGAAACTGCCAATGGAGGCATAGATTTATAGCCTACATATTCTCGTATATATAATACATATAAAAATTTATACCTAGTGTCAGTTATTAAAAAAGACATTTGACACTAATGTTATTCTATGCAATTAAAAGCCTAACAATTATGAAGAATAGAGTACAGGAGAACGATCACTACGTACTAAAGCATAGCCCGCCTGTCCTTGAAAATTGTTGAATGTATAGCGGCGTTGACGTCGGTGAGTAGTAACTGCGAAGTTAGCTGTTTATGAGTACAAGTAGATGAAGTTAGTTGAATAATGTACAAATTTTCATTTCATTTTAATGAGAAAATTTTCATGCTTCGTAATTTTGTAATTTTTGACAAAAAGAAACTTGACTAAACTATAAAATGGAGAAATATTTTATTGTGTGTGTGTGTATTGTGCAAGTGGTTTAGCATCTGATCGGAAAAATAAACTCAAAATGACTTTTATTGACCGAACCTCGAGCGATCGCAGCGCCTCACTTATGGTGTCCATATTTCTGGACACTATTTTCTACGGTGATCGTTCTCCTGTTCTCTAACCTTCATGCTAACAATAGGGCAGTGTGTGATTAAGCACTCTGATCTTCTTCTGGTGGATTAGTGAAATAGATGTTGTCAATACTGTGCCTTTAAACATGGCTTAACTTACGTAAAATCTGAATATAAGTCATATCCTTACAGGTCATACCCGATGCGATAGTGCCGTCTTCTCCAATATAAACTGAAATTCACTCCAAATTCGCTCCAAATTCATACGGAGCCGTGGTAGCTCAGATGGTTAACACTCACTGTAAATATAATAGAACGCGAGTAACCTGGGTTCGATCCCCGCCGGCACCAATGAAATTATTAATAGTAATTTTAAGTGCTGATATACCACGTGCTCGGTGGTGAAGGAAAACATCGTTAGGAAACCTGCATGTCAGAGGAATGAGAAAAAAAAATATTTCGAAGACATGTGAAGTTCGCCAACACGCATTGGGGTAGCGCGGCGGACACTTTCTTGCCCTAAAACCCTCTCAGAAATGAGGGGAGGCCTGTGCCCAGCAGTGGGACGTATATAGGCTGTAACTTTACTTTTTCTTACTTTTAACTTACATAAAGTCTGAGTGTAAGTCATATCCTTACAGGTCATACCTGATGCGTTAGTGCCGTCTTTTCCAATATAAACTGAAATTCACACCATTGATAATAAAATTTACGCATCTCACCAAACTAATAAAAATAATATAAGCATTTAATAAGAGTCTTGTTAGCTGTGATGGTTAGCGCTCGGTCTAAATTTGAAAGTACTCTAGCAATCCGGGTTCAATCCTCGCCGACACCAATAAAACTATTAGTTGCATACCAATACCGTAGACATCTACATCTTTTATTAATTAAGAATCAAAATGCAGATGCATTGTCACCTCCCAGAAATAAGATGAAATGCCTCATTACCAGTTAAAAGGATCTTCGGTTCTCTTCACTCACCATACGAAACGTCAGCGGTACTGTGCTGTTTCACGTTTGTATTTTATTTTGAAACGTGGTCCTTCTCCGGTTGAGTGACCCCATCTTGCCGCCGCCATATATAGATGCATCCTAGTCTTTTTTATATGCATACGGTATTTGGCACAACGCCATGCTAACCGCATGATTAATGCATAAGTCATAATTAATGCACACACAGCAAAGGCCCTCAATACAACAACTCATACATTTTTCAATTTTTACGTGGTGTTAGTACCCCCTGAACGTCCACCTATGCCACCACTGCCCCCAGTAGCACCTGAAACAATGATGGCGGGTACTCAAGGCTTGCAAAAATATCCCATGCCACCATTGCCTCCAGTGGCACCTGGTACTGTGACGGCGGGTACTCAAGACTTACAAAGAAATCCAGGTATTTTTATGACGTCTAAGTATAATCATTTTTATAATTTTTATATCATCATCATTAGAGTTTACAGCCCATCACGAGTCCGAAGTTAGAATTAGACTCCGTCATTAATTGAAACAAGAACAGGGATCTTATTCTAACCAAACTTCATCCATCTCCTAGATCTTCACTCCACTTGATGGGAAAGATATCCTACTGTGTGATTTGTGGTCTCACTGCAAATCAAGATATAGATTTACAGCCTATAGACTTTCTTGTATATATAATAGATACATACTTATAAAAATATGTAGCTAGTGTCGGTTTATAAAAACAATGCATTTGACACTAATGTTACTTACACTTGTACTATCTTGTACTCGTTCTACTCACATGTAGTTCGACCCTTCAAATAAACTATGCCGCAAGAACGTTATATTTTAAATTAATTGCACAAGTCAATTAACAACGGTTGCTCACAAAACTTTCAAATTCATATATAGCTTTATCAATTTATTCAATGATGAACAAATTGCTACGCAAAACTTGAGCATCGTAATTTATTACAAGCACACACGAATATTTACGCCAACATCAGTATATACGAAAGCGATGAATTATATTTTAAATTATAAACACAACCTTGACACGCAAGCACACAGTCTATCTGTAAATGTATGCTATGGCTAATAGATACACTAGCTTGCCAGGCAGACGTTGTTCCACCCTTTTCGACGAACCTGTCATGTCCTATTAAAAATCCTTAAATTCGCAATAAAAAATTGTGGTTCACTCATGGGCTAAAAAACTATTCTATCTCTGAAGTTGGACCAAACTACACACAGTGTGCAAATTTCATCAAAATCGATTAAGAAGTTTAGGAGTCTATCGCGGACAAACAACGTGACACGTAATTTATATATTATATTAAGATATATACATTCATCCTCGATGAAAATATGAACCAAAGACATGTGCCTTGACTACTATGTAACCCGATACTAATACATAGGATCACCGGTTCTCGACATCCGTCATTTGAAACAAAGCAGCATTATGCTGCTATTTTGATTGTTAATGTAATAATTTAGACGATATTATAGTTGTTTAATGAAAGTGGTTTAATTCCTTACTTTATTCGTATAGGACAAAGAAATCTTTTAATAAAAAATAATAATTATAAAAAGTAAAAGTGGACTTTTATTTATTACATTTTTTGTTTCTTTATTTATTACTAGAGACATCTATCCTTACAGGTCTCACCTGATGCGATAGTGTCCTCTTTATTTCAACAGACTTCAAAAAGGTAGAGGTACTCAATTCGACTGTATGTTTTTTTTGTGGTTGTTATCTCAAAACCTTTTTTCAAGGTGAACAGATTTTGATGATTCTTTTTTTAAATTTAAAGCTGGTGCTTCTCATGTTATCTTTAATAATGGGTATTTAATTGACTTAGAATACATTGATGATGTTCTCATTTTATTTGTATTGAATTCATTAGTACAAAACTTTTAATTTTACCACTTGTTCACCATAAGCTGAATCTTACATTAATAATATTTAAATTTTCTAAATTAATACTTAATTTACATACAGCAAGGTACCTTAATGTTAATTCATACATTTATTCCGTTTTTACGTGTTAACAGTACCCCCTGAACGCTTCCCTATGCCACCATTGCCTCCAGTAGCACCGATTTCAATGACGGTGGGTACTCAAGGCTTACAAAAAAATCCAGGTATTTTCATCACATTCTTATAAAATAGTAAGTAAAATATTTTTTATTATTTCTATAATACGCGAGGCTATTGAAATTAAAAAACATCCAAATTTCAATAGAGAAGATGGATGGGTGCTGCCATCTACTCGGAATCCTATAATTAACAAAATTAAACCCAAACCCAAGCATACCACTGCAAGGCTTCATGATACTATAAGCTCGTTTTGCGTAAATTGGACCAAAATTAATATTCAAAAAACTGAAGGTAGCCGGACTAACTATGACATTGGGACGTCAAACATCTCAGTCCCCCTCGTAACCATGGGTGCTGTAAAGCACACGAAACGTCGATATAATAAAAATGAGTTATAGTTGTAATTAAAACGCGATAAAATCCGTAAATAATATTTTTATTCAATATACAGCCTAAGGATAAGTCAATTTAAGTTTGCTACACCGTACCTATCTTGTACTCGTTCTACTCACATGTAGTTCGATCCTTCAAATAAACTATGCCACAAGAACGTTATATTTTAAATTACTTGCACAAGTCAATAAACCACGTTTGCTCACAAAACTTTCAAATTCAAATATAGCTTTACCAATTTACTTAATGACGAACAGATTGCTACGCGAAACTTGAGCATCATAAATTACTACAAGCACACACGAACATTTACGCCAACATCAGTATATACGAAAGCGATAAATTATATTTTAAATTATAAACATAACCTTGACAAGCAAGCACACAGTCTACCTATAAATGTATGCTATGGCTAATCTATAGATACATAATATATACGTTCATCCTCGATTAAGAAACGAAACACATGTTGTACCTTGACTACTATGTAATCCCGATATACTAATAAATAGGATCACCGGTTCTCGACATACGTCATTTGAAACAAAGAAGCATTATGCTACTATTTTGGTCTTTTCACAGTTATTAAACGAAAGTTGTTGAATTCCTTACTTTATTTATATAGGACAAAGAAATCTTTTAATAAAAAATAATAATTATAAAAAATAAAAGTGGACTTTTATTTATTTTATTTTTTGTTTCTTTGTTTATTACTTGAGACATATACAATATGTAACGTAATTAACGCACACCCTCAGACATCCCAATTAGTATATTATGTTATAATCATAATACATACACTACGAACGCAAAGGCTTTAACGTGCTTGAAATAAAGTTCATTTTTCTTTATTTTTATTGAATGACAGAATTAGTAATAATACAAATAAAACTGCACTCTTAAAAATTTTTGGTTGGGCGGCGGGCCTAAGGGTTCCCGAATTCGATTCCCCGGTCGAGCCTTGAACCTATTATGCGAGATGTTACACTAGATGGACTGTATACGCGGATTCTTCTTATGCCTAAACAAGATGGCGGATGTGGCACGCGGTTCCTTGACAATGCACTCGTTCTTCCCAAATCTTTTGCTTGCCAAGGTTATGAAGGAATCCTACTTGAGCTCATTAGGAGAAATGAAATAGAGGCGGGTTAACTAACAAACAAAGGGGCTCAAGTAGGAAGCTAATTTAAAAGGAAACAAACCACTTACCGGGGTGCGACTCCTTTGCGGGTGATGACGCTTTCGTTGCGGTGATGCGGCGTTGGGTGGGTTTCTCCGGGACCCCAGAAATGCAAATGTTGTGCGAAGGAAGAGAGCGGTGCGCGACGATATCTTCCACTAGGTGAGGCGGTTACTCCTGGAGCGCGACTGCTCCAGGTTGGTGCGGTTCGAACGAGTGGCGCGTGGGCAAGAGGGCGCTCGAGCGCAGCGCGCGAGCTTATATCAACGTTTCCCACCGAAGTCGGGCGCTCTTCTCATTGGTTGCAAGAATCACGCTACATTCTAGAATCTCTTCTTTCCCCTCTCACCCCCCCCCCCCCCACCTCGGTGTGAACGGAGGGACGATAGGGTAAGGAAAGGATAAACGCTTGGCAAGCATACCCTGGAATAAAATTAAAATACGAATCGTTTTCCGCGTAACCAGTCTTATTGCCTTAAGTTACGGTTCATTTCAGTTTGTTTTGACTGTACAGATTTAGTGTGACTGTAATTTACGTAGTTTTAATTATTTTTGGGATAAAAAATTACCTATACACAGTCTGTTCAAAAAGTATCGCGAACTTTGTATTTTTTCAAAAAGTATTTATTTATTCATGAATATCTATTTTGTCTTCTTCAAAGTAATCCCCCTCGGATATAATGCACTTGTGCCAACGTTTTTTCCAATCCTTGAAGCACTTAAAAAAATTATTTTTCGTGATCTTCTTCAGTTCCTCCTTCGATGCCGTCTTTACCTACTCAATCGTGGCGTAGCGTCGTCCTTTCATGGGCCTTCTCAGTTTTGGGAACAGGAAAAAGTCACAGGGAGCGAGGTTTGAGGAATACGGTGGCTGTGGGACCATAATTGTTTTGTTTCTGATAAATATTCGCGCACAAGCAACAATGTGTGAGCAAGGGCGTTACAAATCTCTACAAATCCAGTTCCTCCATCCTGTTCTTCTACAAATCCAGGCGTTTCTGGCGGATTGTTTTGCACAAATTGCGCATAACTTGCAGGTGATATTCCGTATTGACTGTACTACCCTGTGGCAAGAACTCATGATGCACCACGCCCCTGAAATAAAAAAAACTGTGAGCAAAACCTTCACGTTTGACCGAACTTGGCGCGCTTTTTTCGGTCTTTGCTCATGCGGCAGCTTCCATTGGGATGATTGAGCTTTGGTTTCCACGTCATAACCATAAACCCATGATTCGTCACCAGATATGACCCTCTGGAGCACATTTGGGTCGTCACGGACCGAGTCCAACATCTCCTGAGCAATGTTAACGCGATGCTGTTTTTGGTCGAAATTGAGCAATTTTGGCACGAATTTCGCAGCGACCCGACTCATGCCCAAATCATTACTTACAATCGAATGGCATGAGTCAATCGATATGTTTAGGTCCTCAGTATTTTCTCTAACGGTGATTCGATGATTGGCCAATAATATTTTCTTCACTTTATCAATGTTATCGTCTGTTGTTGACGTGCTCGGGCGTCCGGCACACTGTTCGTCGTTCACATCTTCTCGGCCCTCTGAGAACATTTTGTACCACCGATAAACGTTGCTTTGGTCCAAGGTAGCTTCACCACATGCCACAGTCAACATTATTATTTTGCTTTTCAAATAAAATTTAATACAGATTCTTTGATCCATTTTTTGGAATAGGCAAAAATCTAAGACGAGCGAAAACACATCCAAGCAAAACAGCTGTCAAAAATTAACTAAACATTCAAAATGGCCGCCCTTATCTGCATAAGTAAAGGACATGAGTACCAACATAAGGCTACAAAAAAATCAAAAATCAAATATACGTATCCTGCGGAAATTCAAAATTCGCGATACTTTTTGAAGAGACCACGTATTAAAAATGATAGGAATCGATTCAGTAAACGATTCTGAACCAACTACTTTCTCAAAGTGCGTTAATTATGTTACGTGTTGTATATTATATCCTTACAGGTCTTACTCGATGCGATAGTGGCTTCTTATTTTAACAGACTTCAAAAAGATGGAGGTACTCACTACGACTGTAGGTTATTTTATGATTGTTATCTCAAAATCGTTTTTCAAGGTGAACAGATTTTGATTCATAAAGCTGGTGCTTTTCGTATTGTCCTTAATAATGGGTATTTAATTGACTTAGAATACATTGATGGTGTTCTTATTTTATTTGTATTGAATTCATTAGTACAAAACTTTTAATTTTACCATTTCATAATAATAAACCAAATCTTACATTAATAGTATAAAATTTTTCTAAATTAATAATTAATTTACATACAGCAAGGTACCTCAATGTTAACTCATACATTTTTTCCGTTTTTACGTGGTAACAGTACCTCCTGAACGCTTCCCTATGCCACCATTGCCTCCAGTAGCACCGGATACAATGACGGCGGGTACTCAAGGCTTACAAAGAAATCCAGGTATTTTCATCACATTCTTATAAAGTTGTAAGTAAAATAATTTTTATAATTTCTTATATTATTACCATCATTACAGTTTACAACATATCACGAGTCTAAAGTTAACATTAGCCAGCGTCATTGATTGAAACAAAATACTAGAACTAGTCATTGATTTCAAAAAGAGACTGGATCTTATTCTAATCAAACTACACCCGCCTTCAAGCTCTTTACTCCACTTAGTGGGAAAGATACCCTACTATATGATTTGTGGTGAAACTGCCAATGGAGACATAGATTTATAGCCTATATATATTCTCGTATATATAATACATATAAAAATTCATACCTAGTGTCGGTTATTAAAAAAGACATTTGACACTAATGTTATTCTATGCAATTAAAAGCCTAACAATCATGAAGAATAGAGTACAGGAGAACGATCACTACGTACTAAAGCATAGCCCGCCTGTCCTTGAAAATTGTTGAATGTATAGCGGCGTTGACGTCGGTGAGTAGTAACTGCGAAGTTAGCTGTTTATGATTAACAAGTAGATGAAGTTAGTTTAATAATGTACTCATTTCATTTTTAATGAGAAAATTTTCATGCTTCGTAATTTTGTAATTTTTGACAAAAAGAAACATTAAAAAATGGAGAAATATTTTATTGTGTGTAGATGTGCAAATGGTTTAGCATCTGATCGGAAAAATAGACTCAAAATGACTTTTATTGACCGAACCTCGAGCGATCGCAGCGCCTCACTTATGGTGTCCATATTTCTGCACACTATTTTCTACGGTGATCGTTCTCCTGTTCTCTAACCTTCATGCTAACAATAGGGCAGTGTGTGATTAAGCACTCTAATCTTCTTCTGGCGGATTAGTGAAATACATGTTGTCAATACTATGCCTTTGGACATGGCTTAACTTACGTAAAGTCTGAGTATGTCATATCCTTACAGGTCATACCCGATGCGATAGTGCCGTCTTCTCCAATATAAACTGAAATTCACACCACTGATAATAAAATTTACGCAGCTCAACAAACTAATAAAAATAACATAAGCATTTAATAAGAGTATTGTTAGCTCTGATGGTTAGCGCTCGGTCTAAATTTGAAAGTACTCTAGCAATCCGGGTTCGATCCTCGCCGACACCAATAAAACTATTAGTTGCATACCAATACCGTAGACATCTACATCTTTTATCAATTAAGAATCAAAATGCAGATGCATTGTCACCTCCCAGAAATAAGATGAAATGCCTCATTACCAGTTAAAAGGATCTTCGGTTCTCTTCACTCACCATACGAAACGTCAGCGGTACTGTGCTGTTTTACGGTTGAGTGACCCCATCTTGCCGCCGCCATATATAGATGCATCCTAGTCTTTTTTATATGCATACGGTATTTGGCACAACGCCATGCGGTGAAATAATTAATGCACACACAGCAAAGGCCCTCAATACAATAACTCATACATTTTTCAATTTTTACGTGGTGTTAGTACCCCCTGAACGTCCACCCATGCCACCACTGCCCCCAGTAGCACCTGAAACAATGATGGCAGGTACTCAAGGCTTGCAAAAATATCCCATGCCACCATTGCCTCCAGTGGCACCTGGTACTATGACGGCGGGTACTCAAGACTTACAAAGAAATCCAGGTATTTTTATGACGTCTAAGTCAACAAAACTCAAAACCTTTTTTCAAGGTGAACAGATTTTGATGATTCTTTTTTTTAAATTTAAAGCTGGTGCTTCTCATGTTATCTTTAATAATGGGTATTTAATTGACTTAGAATACATTGATGATGTTCTCATTTTATTTGTATTGAATTCATTAGTACAAAACTTTTAATTTTACCACTTGTTCACCATAAGCTGAATCTTACATTAATAATATTTAAATTTTCTAAATTAATACTTAATTTACATACAGCAAGGTACCTTAATGTTAACTCATACATTTATTCCGTTTTTACGTGTTAACAGTACCCCCTGAACGCTTCCCTATGCCACCATTGCCTCCAGTAGCACCGATTTCAATGACGGTGGGTACTCAAGGCTTACAAAAAAAATCCAGGTATTTTCATCACATTCTTATAAAATAGTAAGTAAAATATTTTTTATTATTTCTATAATACGCGAGGCTATTGAAATTAAAAAACATCCAAATTTCAATAGAGAAGATGGATGGGTGCTGCCATCTACTCGGAATCCTATAATTAACAAAATTAAACCCAAACCCAAGCATACCACTGCAAGGCTTCATGATACTATAAGCTCGTTTTGCGTAAATTGGACCAAAATTAATATTCAAAAAACTGAAGGTAGCCGGACTAACTATGATATTGGGACGTCAAACATCTCAGTCCCCCTCGTAACCATGGGTGCTGTAAAGCACACGAAACGTCGATATAATAAAAATGAGTTATAGTTGTAATTAAAACGCGATAAAATCCGTAAATAATATTTTTATTCAATATACAGCCTAAGGATAAGTCAATTTAAGTTTGCTACACCGTACCTATCTTGTACTCGTTCTACTCACATGTAGTTCGATCCTTCAAATAAACTATGCCACAAGAACGTTATATTTTAAATTACTTGCACAAGTCAATAAACCACGTTTGCTCACAAAACTTTCAAATTCAAATATAGCTTTACCAATTTACTTAATGACGAACAGATTGCTACGCGAAACTTGAGCATCATAAATTACTACAAGCACACACGAACATTTACGCCAACATCAGTATATACGAAAGCGATAAATTATATTTTAAATTATAAACATAACCTTGACAAGCAAGCACACAGTCTACCTATAAATGTATGCTATGGCTAATCTATAGATACATAATATATACGTTCATCCTCGATTAAGAAACGAAACACATGTTGTACCTTGACTACTATGTAATCCCGATATACTAATAAATAGGATCACCGGTTCTCGACATACGTCATTTGAAACAAAGAAGCATTATGCTACTATTTTGGTCTTTAATGCAATAATTTTCGGCGATATTATAGTTATTAAACGAAAGTTGTTGAATTCCTTACTTTACTTATATAGGACAAAGAAATCTTTTAATAAAAAATAATAATTATAAAAAGTAAAAGTGGACTTTTATTTATTTTATTTTTTGTTTCTTTGTTTATTACTTGAGACATCTATCCTTACAAGTCTTACCCGGTGTGATAGTGTCCTCTTATATTTCAACAGACTTCGACTGTAGTTTTTTTTGTGGTCGTTATCTCAAAACCTTTTTTCGGGATGAACAGATTTTGATGATTCTTTTTTTTTTAATTTAAAGCTGGCGCTTCTCATGTGGTCTCATACAAATTTGACCAAGATCTGACTGGTGGGCTTTGAGTTATCCTTAATAATGGTATTTAGTTGTGATGGGTAATTAGTTGACTTAGAATACATTGATGATGTTCTCATTTTATGTATATTGAATTTGTTAGTACAAAACTTTTAATTTTACCACTTGTTCATCATAAACCAAATCTTATATTAATAGTATTAAATTTTTCTAAATTATAATTAATTTACAATCAACAAGGTACCTCAATGTAAACTTATATTTTTCCGTTTTTACGTGGTAACAGTACCCCCTGAACGCTTCCCTATGCCACCATTGCCTCCAGTAGCACCGGATACAATGACGGCGGGTACTCAAGGCTTACAAAGAAATCCAGGTATTTGCATCACATTCTTATAAAGTTGTAAGTAAAATAATTTTTATAATTTCTTATATTATTACCATCATTACAGTTTACAACATATCACGAGTCTAAAGTTAACATTAGCCAGCGTCATTGATTGAAACAAAATACTAGAACTAGTCATTGATTTCAAAAGGAGACTGGATCTTATTCTAATCAAACTACACCCGCCTTCAAGCTCTTTACTCCACTTAGTGGGAAAGATACCCTACTATATGATTTGTGGTAAAACTGCCAATGGAGACATAGATTTATAGCCTATATATATTCTCGTATATATAATACATATAAAAATTCATACCTAGTGTCGGTTATTAAAAAAGACATTTGACACTAATGTTATTCTATGCAATTAAAAGCCTAACCATTATGAAGAATAGAGTACAGGAGAACGATCACTACGTACTAAAGCATATCCCGCCTGTCCTTGAAAATTGTTGAATGTATAGCGGCGTTGACGTCGGTGAGTAGTAACTGCGAAGTTAGCTGTTTATGATTAACAAGTAGATGAAGTTAGTTTAATAATGTACAAATTTTCATTTCATTTTTAATGAGAAAATTTTCATGCTTCGTAATTTTGTAATTTTTGACAAAAAGAAACTTTAAAAATTGAGAAATATTTTATTGTGTGTGGATGTGCAAGTGGTTTAGCATCTGATCGGAAAAATAGACTCAAAATGACTTTTATTGACCGAACCTCGAGCGATCGCAGCGCCTCACTTATGGTGTCCATATTTCTGTACACTATTTTCTACGGTGATCGTTCTCCTGTTCTCTAACCTTCATGCTAACAATAGGGCAGTGTGTGATTAAGCACTCTGATCTTCTTCTGGTGGATTAGTGAAATAGATGTTGTCAATACTGTGCCTTTGGACATGGCTTAACTTACATACGGAGCCGTGGTAGCTCAGATGGTTAACACTCACTGTAAATATAACAGAACGCTAGTAACCTGGGTTCGATCCCCGCCGGCAGCAATGAAATTATTAATTGCAATTTTAAGTGCTGATATACCACGTGCTCGGTGGTGAAGGAAAACATCGTGAGGAAACCTGCATGTCAGAGGAATGAGAAAAAAAATATTTCGAAGACATGTGAAGTTCGCCACCACGCATTGGGGTAGCGCGGCGGACACTTTCTTGACCTAAAACCCTCTCAGAAATGAGGGGAGGCCTGTGCCCAGCTGTGGGTATATACGCTGTAACTTTACTTTTTCTTACTTTTAACTTACATAAAGTCTGAGTGTAAGTCATATTCTTACAGGTCATACCTGTTGCGTTAGTGCCGTCTTTTCCAATATAAACTGATTCACACCATTGATAATAAAATTTACGCAGCTCACCAAACTAATAAAAATAATATAAGCATTTAATCAAAGAGTCTAAAGAGTCTTGTTAGCTCTGATGGTTAATGCAATAGTTTTATAGTTTAATCTTTGTTGCATACATGCTAGAGATACCTGTAGGCGTAATTGTGTATTTATTGTTTGTCTATGTGTGAAAGCTGCAAACCGGCGACGCGCGTCCCGATATTAAAAGACAGTAGAAGGCATTTCTAGTGTCTTATTATTTAGATTTATGTGCGATAAATTATATATTAATTATAAACATAACCTTGACAAGCAAGCACACCGTCTACCTATAAATGTATGCTATGGCTAATATATAGATATAGATTTAACATCTGAAATCACTGATAAAGTAGACAATGGTTATAAATGCGTAACGGTATTTCTAGACCTGAAAAAGGCTTTTGATACCGTATCTGTCCCCATCCTTGTGCAGAGACATGAAGCTATAGGGATAGGAGGTAAGGCGCTCTCCTTCTTTGACAGCTACCTGCGCGGTATTAGACAACAAGTTAAAATAGATAATTTACTTAGTGAGGAGGAAAGCATTGTCTATGGTGTCCCACAGGGCTCGGTTCTCTGCCCAACACTGTTTCTAGTTTATATTAATGATCTATGTAACCTGCGAAGCAGTGGTGGTAAAACCTTCTCTTACGCGGACGACACGGCCATCGTTTACATTGGGGACACGTTGGAAGAAGTGTGCAATAATGCCGAGCAAGGATGAGTTGTTATAGATAGATGGCTTAAAACCAACCTGCTAACCCTTAATGGTATTAAAACAAATTACATTTGTTTTTCTCCTAATAAAAGTTCTAAATCAGGCCTTATTTTTAAAATTAGAATCCACACGTGTGCGGACCACTTCAACCAAAATTGTAATTGCCAAGTGCTTAAACATAAAACGTCTACAAGATACTTGGGAATTATAGGAACTACTGGGAATTATAGTTTAACTTGGCATTCACATATTGAGATTGTTACGTCACGAGTGCACAAATTCATATGGATTTTTAAAAATCTAAGATATGTGATGCCTCAGAAAACACTCAATAGCATCATATTGCGCTCACGCAATCAGTTCTTAACATATTGTTTACCAGTATGGGGAGGAGCCACTAAAACTAAATTCCTTGAGTTAGAAAGAGCCCAAAGGTCACTTATAAAAGTAATGTACTATAAACCATACAAATACCCCACCGTCGATCTTTATAGAATCAGTGGCTTACTCTCAGTTAGAAAACTATATTACTTAATCACGACCCTATACTTACAAAAATCATTTTTTTAATAGGAAAAGGGTGACAAGCGAGCACACAGTCCACCTGATGGTAAGTGGTTGATGTGGCCCATAGACATCTACATCTATCCTCGTTTGTGAATGAAAATTCAGATGCGTTGTCAGCCTTGAGGACTAAGATGGAATGCCTCTTTTCCAGTAAAAAGGGTCTCCGGTTCTCTACACTCACCATACGAAACACAGCAGCATTAAGCTGCTATTTGACGCTGGTATTCTGTGAGAGCTTGGTCCTTCCCCGGTTGGATCGACCCATTCGTGCTACAACTATACAATTAATATAGCTGCAGCATGGCTCTACCACGTAAATCTATTCCATTTAACCAAGACAGTCAGGAGAGAAGACGAAAGGATATAGTGGCTTACTCCCCAAGGGTCCGAACCGCTTTTGCACGGCGTCAGTATGCAATCCAATCAGTCTATATTTAAAAAATATTTTATATTTTAAATAATAAAATAAACGTAAAATTAAATTTCCACCATGAGGTATCACACGTAGGCAAAAATGTAATAACTGAATGTTTAAAAACCTTAACATACGAGGAAATTGAACAAATTTTATATAGACTTATTTAAATAATTTCTTACTTATCAACAATGTATGCACTTACCGAGCTTATTCTATTAATTGCGATTTTTTACACACTGGACTTCAAAGAAGACACACACATACACACACACACGTAAACGCACACACACACGCACACACACGCACTAACGCACACACACACGCGCACGCGCACGCGCACGCGCACGCACGCACGCACGCACTCATTTACGCACTCACGCACGCAAGCACACACGCACTCACGAACGCACACACGCACGCACGCACGAACGCACGCACGCACGCACGAACGCACGAATAAAACATTTTCATTTTCATTTCCATAATATATACTTTGATTAAGCATATAATCCAAGCATATTTACATTCATCCTCGGTTAAGAAACGAAAGACATATATGTAATCCCGATACTAATAAATAGGATCACCGGTTCTCGACATCCGTCATTTGAAACAAAGAAGCATTATGCTGCTATTTTGATCTTTAATGTAATAATTTTTAGGCGACATTATAGTTGTTAAATGAAAGTTGTTGAATTTCGTACTTTATTCATATAGGACAAAGAAATCTTTTAATAAAAATAATAATTATAAAAAAGTTAAAGTGGACTTTTATTTTTTTTATTTTTTGTTTCTTTGTTTATTACTAGAAACATCTATCCTTACAGGTCTTACCTGATGCGATAGTGTCCTCTTTATTTGAACAGACTTCAAAATGGACTCAATTCGACTGTAGGTTTTTTTATGGTTGTTATCTCAAAACTTTTTTTTTCTAGGTGAACAGATTTTGATGATTCTTTTTTTTTCAATTTAAAGCTGGTGCGTCTCATGTACTCTCATACAAATTTGACCAAGATCTGACTGGTGGGTTTTGAGTTATCCTTAATAATCGATATTTATTTTGACTTAAAATACATTGATGGTGTTCTCATTTTATTTGTATTGAATTCATTAGTACAAAACTTTTCATCATAAACCAAATCTTATATTAATAGTATTAAGTTTTTCTAAATTAATAATTTACATACAGCAAGACTCATACATTAACTCCGTTTTTACGTGGTAACAGTACCCCCTGAACGCTTCCCAATGCCACCATTGCCTCCAGTAGCACCGGATACGATGACGGCGGATACTCAAGGCTTACAAAGAAATCCAGGTATTTTTATGACGTTCTTATAAAGTTGTAAGTAAAATAATTTTTATAATTTCTTATATTATTATTATCATTACAGTTTACAACGTATCACGAGTCTGAAGTTAACTTTAGCCACCGTCATTGATTGAAACAAAATACTAGAACTTATTCTAATCGAACTGCATCCATCTCCATGTCTCCACTCCACTTAGTGGGAAAGAAATCCTAATATGTGATTTTTGATGAAGCTGCCGATGGAGATATAGATTTATAGCGTATAGATTTTCTTGTAAATATAATACATATAAAATGGGTAGCTACTGTCAGTTAATACGATAAGCACAGCCAATCAGCGCGTGCGAACGGTACGCGCGCCAGCCCCGCATAATCCATGATACCTTATTTTTGACTTATGCGTAATAAACTAATAAATTATAACAGTAACCGCTAGACTTTCGTCCTGGTAGGTACATATAATTTATTTACATACAGCCATTGATTTATATAATATATGCATTTAACAAGAGCTGTGGTAGTTCAGATGGTTAACGCTCGCTGTAAATTTAGACGTACGCGAACAAGCCGGGTTCGATCCCCGCCGACACCAATGAAAATGTTAAGTGCATACACATACCGTAGACATCTTTGTCTTTTATCAATTAAAAATCAAAATGCTGATGCATTGTCACCTCCTGCAACTAAGACGGAATGACTCGTTACCAGTTAAAACGCTCTTCTGTTCTCTTCTCTCACCGTACGAAACGTCAGCAATCTGCTGTTTCACGTTGGTATTTTATTTTAAGAGCGTGCTTCTTCCCCGGTCAAGTGACCATCTCCTGCCACTGCCATATATAGATGCATCCTAGTTCTTTTTTACACGCATACGGTATTTGGCACGACGCCCTGCCGTGAAGTAATTAATGCACATACAGTAAGGGCCCTCAATGTTAACTCATACATTTTTTCCGTTTTATGTGGTATTAGTACCCCCTGAACGCTACCCTATGCCACCATTGCCTCCAGTAGCACCGTATATAATGACGGCGGGTACTCAAGGCTTACAAAGATATCCCATGCCACCATTGCCTCCAGTAGCATCTAATACATTGACAGCGGGTACTTCAGGCTTACAAATAACTCCAGGTATTTTAATTGCATTCATTCTTATAAAGTTGTTAGTAAAATCATTTTTATAAGTTCCGATGTCACCATCATCATTACTGTTTACAGCCCATTACATGTCCAAAGTTAACATAAGTCCCCGCCATTATAGTTCGGCCGTTCAGAGAATGCGTTCCTGACACGTCGCGATTGAACTGACGACGTAACTTTGTAATGGCGTTGCAGTTACGATAAAAATATTTTTGCTGGTTGTTTACCGTTTTAACAATTGGTGAGCATTAAAACAACATTATTATATCAATAATCAATGAATGTTTTAATTTTGTGCCAAACTGAGTGTCAAATAACTTGGTAAACAATATTTTTCTAAATATATACTGCGCTATTACAAGGTTATCAGCGCTTTATATTTGTAGTGCTGTGCTAACAATAACAGGCAATAACAGTATCATAATCTGTTCTTATACAGTAATACTTTATAAAATAATACGTTTTGTCTTTCTTTTTAAGATTTTGAAAATAATGGACTATAAGATAACTATTATTAAATATAAAAATAAAACTACGACCAAACCGAACGCGCGAAAGAAAGTAGCATTTTTATATTTAGGTTGAAAATGGTAACCCCAAATGGCGTTATGGGCCGCCATTTTGTGACGCTAAAACAGTCGTCTGTTGTCGTTTCGTGCGCATAGACCACGTTCTTCAAGTGTTTTCGATCTGTTTTTATTTGATTACCCGGCTTTCGTTTAACGGACTGTTTCTGCATTTCAAATTGACATCGGCGCTAAATCGGACTTCGATTATGTTTTGTATTGCGTTCTTTTTACTTTTGGTGCATAATAATGCCTAAAAGTGGACAAACATTGAAAAGTGGAGCTCGTGAGTTAATCATCAAGCTGCAAGATTACTTTCAGCGGGAGCGGCAAAATGGCAGACCCGTGTTACCTGTCGAAAAAGTACAAGAACGCGCCTCTCAGGCGCTTGGAGTTAGCAAACGAACGATAACAAATATCAATAAAGAATAGTTTGGCTCTACTGGCATGGAAGATATTTTACGTACTCCGAAGAAGAAACGTAGAACTAAACCCGTGACAGATATTGACACCTTTGACGCCGATGCAATCAGAAATCATATATATGGTTACTATTCCAGAAATGAATATCTCAACAGGAAGAAGCTTTTGGCATCGTTAAGAGAAGCTGGACTGTTTAGCGTGGGTAAAACTGCTTTAACCAAAATCTTAAAAGATATTGGTTTTTCGTATAAAAAAACAGACAAAAATTTTTTATTAGAACGATATGACATAATTTTAAAACGTATAAGTTTTTTGAGAGAAGCTAAAAATATTGATAACTGGAATAGTGTCGTCTTCATTGACGAGACATAGCTAAACGCCAATCACACGGTTTCCCGTTCTTGGACGGATGATACACAAGCGTCGACGTCGAAAGTACCAGTAGTCTGATAATATGCCACGCAGGTTCTGCAAAATACGGCTTTGTGGAGAATGCGTTACTGGCATTTCAATCAAAAACCACAAATGACTACCACGAGAAAATGAATGCCACTACATTTAAAGAGTGGTTCCAGAATGTGCTTTTGCCCAGCCTTCTGTAATATTCATGGATAATGCCTCCTATCACTCAGTTCAAATACAGAAACCACCTACCCAAGCTAATAAAAAGAAGAAATGGTAGCTTGGTTACAAGCAAAAGGCATTGACGCAAATATGCAGATGCTAAAACCAGAGCTAATTAAATTAGTTAAAGAAAATAAAGCGTCAAATGTGCGATACGAAATCGATGAACTGGCTTTGGAGTACGGTCATCGCGTTCTAAGAATTCCACCGTATCATTGCCAATATAACACGATTGAGCTAATCTGGGCTCAAATAAAAGGTTACGCTGCCCGCCACTATACTTCCCCGCCATTCAGCACGAAAAAGATGATGACCCTATTAAAAGAAGCCTGCGGGGAAGTCACAAGAGATGACTGGGCAAAGGTTGTTAAGAAGACTAAAAACCTGATTGTGGAACATTTTGACCGAGATATCAGGATTGATTCTGTTATTGATAATAATATAATTATACATGTAGGCAAAGATGATGATGAAGACACCACCTCCTCAAGCGAATCGGAGTCTGATTAATATTCTGTAGGCACATTCAATTCAATGAACTTTATTGCATAGAAATACAGATTGTAACTTTGTTACAAAGAATAAATAAAACAATTTTATTATATTAATATTACCTTTTTTTTGGTTTCCACTTAAATTATTAAAATATAAATTTTAAATGATTCCGCCAATTTAAAACGAAAATAATTTTAAAAATAACGCGGCGGTTCATTTTGGAGGAACGGTAACGAACTCAGTGTTATCTTGTGCCCATCACTAGTCGTGACTAACTGATAGGTGTCAGGAACGCATTCTCTGAACGGCCGAACTATAATTGAAACAAAACACTGGATCTTATTTTAATTAAACTATAAATCTCCATTTATTGCTAACTTTGTTAGGTTTATACTCTACCTAATGGCAGGGATATCCTACAATGTAATTTCAGGTTAAACTGCTATTAGAAAAAAGTATTTAAATAAATGAACACTACTTGGTAAAATATTCATGGAACGCATTAAAAATAAATACATATATATTCTAAAATAAATGATGCATGCGATGCAACATAGGCCGGCCTTACTGTGACATCACTTTCTTTGCTGGTACTAAAAGTTGATTTCGTTGAATGACCCGAGCTAGTTGTTGCCTGCGCAATTCCTTTTTCTGCTTATACGAGTGGGGGAGTTTAACCGCTTATTTGTAATTTAACCTCACTCTTAACATTCGGCCTTCCTGAAAAGTCACAAGTCCTTGTGTAAAGACTAAAGTTAATGACTTAAAATACCTGAAAGCGGGAAAGCATTACAAAAAAATATCTCGCCTCGGACCTTCCTCACCATAAAAAACTCGATAGTGCTCAAAATACTTGGATCGTAGTATCTCAAACTTCAAAGTGTACTCTAACTGATAGGACTGACTTTAATGCAACAGTACGACAAAATATCACGGTATGTAGTATTACTATTACATATTATCACTAAATTAGTTATTTGAAATTATTTATAACTCAACAATATTTTAATGTACTTGTTTATCATATTTATCTTTTTTTTTTCATTAAAATAGCTATTAAGTAAGGAATAACTCCGGAAATTATTTTTTCTAATCTAAACACTCGGTAATCGTATAATCACCGCTACCCTTATCGTTGCATGTATCTCATTTTTATTCCTTGAAACTTATAAGTAATTTTAAGAAATCAGTAATTTTTTGTGCTTATTTATATCATTAATGTTCTTTCTTGGAGACGCTTCGGTCATATATGGCACCCATTTACTTGATCATAAGCGTCATATTCAAACAGATTTTTTTAAATATGGACTTGATCATACAGCCGTCTATATAGTTCACACAGATTTTTTTTTAAATATGGACTTTATCATCCAGCCGTCTATATATTCTTTCACACATTTTTTATAAATATGGACTTGATCAAACAGCCGTCTAAATAGTTTAACACAGATTTTTTTTTTAAATATGACCTTGATCACACAGCCGTCCATATTGTTTGCACATTTTTTTAAATATGGACTTGATCACACAGCCGTCTATATAGTTCTCACGGATTTTTTTATAAATATGGACTTGATCACCCAGCCGTCCATATTGTTTGCACATTTTTTTTAAATATGGACGATCAAACAGCCGTCTAAATAGTTTACACATATTTATTTTAATTTTGACTTGATCACACAACCGTCTACGTAGTTCACATATACTTTTTATAAATATGGACTTGATCACACAGCCGTCTATATAGTTCACACAGATTTTTTTAAATACGGCCTTGATCACACAACCGTCCATGTTGTTCACACATTTTTTTTAAATATGGACTTGATCACACAGCCGTCTAAATAGTTCACACGATTTTTTTTATAATATGGACTTGATTACACAGCCGTCTAAATAGTTCACACAGATTTTTTTAATATAACCTTGATCACACAGCCGTCTAAATAGATTACACATATATTTTTTTTTTAATTTTGACTTGATCACACAACCATCTACGTAGATCACATATACTTTTTTATAAATATGGACTTGATCACACAGCTGTCTACTATATAGTTCACACAGATTTTTTTAAAATATGGACTTGATCACACAGCCGTCTAATCTAAACAGTTCACACAGATATTTGTTTTAAATATGACATTGATAAATGTGCCGTCCACATAGTTCACTCAGATATTTATTTTATAAATATGGACGTGATCACACATCCGTCCATATAATATGTAGTTCAGATTGTTTCTTAAACATGGACTTGATCACACGGCCGTCCATATAGTTCATGTTGTTTTTTTTTAATATAGACTTGATCATACAATCGTCTATATAGTAATTAAGTAATCTTATCTTCTTCTGGTTCTTTACAGACAGCTTAACTTACATACAGCCTAAGGATAAGCCAATTTAGGTTTGACTGCGCCGTACCTAGCTTGTACTTTTCTGCTCGCATATGGTTTGATCGTACAAATAAACAATATTTTAAATTTCTTGCACCAATTCAAGTAAACAATGTTTTCTCACAAAACTTTGAAATTGAAATATACCTTTATCAATTTATTTAATGATGAACGGATCGGTACGCAAAACGCGAGCATCATAAATTACTACAAGAACACGCGAACATTTACGCCAACACCAGTATATACTAAAGCAATAAGATTCATTTTATATTATAAATGTAACCTTGACAAGCAAGAACACATGATTATAATTGTGTGCTATGGCCAAATCTGTCCTCGATTAAGATACGAAACATAGGTGCTTTAACTACTATGTAATCTCGATAAAGATAATGGACTTTTGAAAGGATCTCTGGTTCTAGTCATTCATTATTCGAAATAAAGCAAACCATTCCGATGCTATTTTGATTTTAATGTCCTCATTTAGGTGACATTATTATTTTTGTTATATAGTCATTGCCTGAAATAATAACCTATACAACAAAAACTCACATTCTTTCATTCGGTTCACAATTTACGGAGATATCGCATAATATACATACAAAAAACATACAATCGAATTGTAAACCTCTTCCTTTTTGCAGCCTGCTAAAAAGTAAAAGGTGACTTCAAAGAACTAAAAAAAAATTATTACCACGTTAGCTTCTGAAGTCGGTATTTTAACCCATTTAAGGCGGCTGCCGATAGGCGTCATACTACGTCAGACGCACTTTGACGCCGATCGGCGTTTTCCGCTCATGAAAATTATTTCTTGCTTATTTTGACAGAATGTTATTAACACTTACGTCTCAGCCTTCGCCAGTCACTTGCTGCGTACTCAGTGGCATTTGCATTTGTATAATATAATAATTATGTTATTTTGTGATTAACAGTGAATTTTTTTTTAAATACCGGCGATTTCATATTTACCATAATTAATTATGGCTTTAACTTTTTTAACTTTTATGGCTGGAAATAGCAAGTGAATGTGTTTCTTTTATACTCAGTATAGTAAGGGATATTTCTACATTAAAGAGTAGTGAAGAGTATTAGAAAGAGTTCTAATTATACTTTGAGTAATGAAATTGGTGTTTATATTAATATTTTCAGTATTATTGAAATATGATCACGGATTGCAAACCTTTTACTAACTTTTTTAAGTTACAAAAACTTTTAATAATACTATTTTGTCTACTATTTTAAATGTACTAATTATAAGAAGTAGTGTTTTGAATAAGTAGTTGTAAGGAAGAGAAAACATCGAGAAGAGTTTTCAGATACATACTATTTCTAGTGCATCGTAATTTGTTTCACTTAACAATTAATAACGGATTTCTCTTGAACATCCATCCAGCCATCATCACCGAGTTTATTAAGTGGGGGCATGAGACAATTTTTTTTCGCGAAAAAGAAAGCCATGTGATGATGAATATGATATTGTTGATGCGAAAAAGTCACAACTAGACAAAATAAAGAGGCAGGTATTGTCGCAGGACATTCAGAATACAAATTTATATAAACGCAACAGTTTTGACTCCAATGAGTATAAATGTGACGTATCAAAATCACCCGAATTAAATTTTGTAAATGGGGAACCAAATGAGCACTGAATTTAGCGATCGGTTGAGCAAACGCTTTGTTTGCCCAACCGATCGCTAACGATTGAGATCTCTTTCCATTGAAAAAAAGATGGAGAGCTCACCTCATAGCATGTGCTGCGAGGCACCTTCAGCCTTGGATTGTGGCATGGATCATTTATAAGAATACTTTACCTCTGTTTTAGTCTTCATGGTGAATAGAGGTGCCTTACTTAATTAGTTTTACATTTCCCAACGACTTCCACATTTGTGTTCAGGATTTTCTAATTTCTTACTCTTATAACAACTTTGGCTAAGTGTAAACGGACTATTACCATTAGAGTGTAAGCTCTTAACTTAGATGTGATTTTGAGTGGTTTTGCAAGTCACCGAGTGAATTCTTTTGGTAAGTACCTTGATATTTTGTTTTTAATTTTTCTAGAAATAGTTTAATTTAAGACAACCACGAAAGCCATCAACATTAAAGGGGATAGAACCTCTGTAGTCACCAGCCACTTTTATAATTTATTTATGTATTTATAATAAAAATTCCAAGTTCTTAAGTTGTGCAATTATATAACACATAGTCGAATCACAGTCTATAAGTAATAGTAGATAGGTATATTTTTGACAACGTTGGTAACATAAGTTTCTTTATCAGACGACAGGCAATTATAAAATAATTACATTAATTGTCCTATTTAAAATAGGTACTTTACTGATAGTATTTAAGATATTCAACCACTAATAGTATACATATATCAAACGATCCTTTAATTCTAAAAAAACCTTCGATCAGTATAATTATTGATCGAAGTAAAAAACGCAAAATTTTCACAAATAAACCTAGCTACAAAGCAAAATAAAAACTGTTTAAATTGGTTTAAACATTTTTATAGGAAACCTGACCTGCTACTTTTTGCTAATAATTTTGCGAAATCACCCTTGATTAGACGAAAATTAAGTCATATTATTTCAATTCATAGATCATGGATCCCACGACATCTACCACACGACTGGACTACATCACGTTGACAAACAGGCAATTGTAGATGCAACGTTATCATCAATGTGTTCACCGACATATAACATTTCATTCACTGAAGTTGTTTTAAATGATGAGGAACTCCACTAGCATCCTGTCATGTCATGTTGATCACTTATATGAAGAGAGAATCGAAAAAGTAGGTCAAGAAGATTTACAAGACGATGCTGCAAATGAAAATGAAGTATCTGAAGAATGTAATAGGGGAAATACACTTTTCCTCAACCAGATCGAATTCGAACAGCGTCCTGGTTTAAGGGTGGAAATGACGAACAAAGGACCAATAGATAACTTTTTTAGTTATCGATCATGAATATTAAATCTTATCTTAACTTGTTCCAACAACTGTGCATCAAAACTGTTAGAAAATACAAATGTTCCAAATTTCAGCAGGATGAAAAACTGGCGCCCAACAATCATGGATGCTCTAAAGACTTTTATTGGCCATTACATGGGTTACCTTAAAATGAATCGTTTAAGTGCTTATTGGAAAATTCATTATTTATTATTTGTACAAATCAGACGTATTCAGTCAAAACATGTCCAGGGATAGATTTTTAAATATATTAAGAGTATTATATGTTCACTACGAGGAGGGTAACGAAAGTATAAATGAATAAAACATTAATTAATACATTTATAAATAAAATAAAATAAATTTACTATCCAACTAGAGAACTGGCAATTGATGAATCATTGATGCTTTGGAGCGGCAGACTTTCAGTCCGGGAATACATGAAGTCAAAAGATATTTAATATGGCATCAAATTTTATAGTTTGAGCAACAAATTTAGTGTATGCCGGAAACTTCATTTATGGATCAAAAGATCAAATGGTAGGGAGGGGGCTGCAGTCCTTCCGAAAAAGTTTTAAAATTATTATTGCAGGAATATCTTATTGTCGGCCATTCTCTATATATAATTTTTTCATTCCTTTCAATTCTTTGCTTTCAGCTTTTTGTTTGTATTAAAATTTTAATATTTATGGCCCTTTAACAATGGCATGAGTGGCAACCGCTCAAAAATTATACCAAACGCACCGCTACTACGCCACTACTGCTCGTAGAACACTCTCCTTTTAGGCCGTAAACAAATTGTTACAATACGAGGGGGAAAATATTAATTTAATTAAATTTATATTTTAGGCACCGACAGTCAAGAGTATTACTATCCACAAACCATTCCCATTTCAACAGCTGATATCATGAACAGACTAATTGAAATCGAGAGGAAACTTAAGGAGTGCTGTGAAAGTGTGAATAAGCAAGAAGGCGTTGTCCGGGATCATGTAATAGCTTAAACGTATCTATGTAATAAAAATCGTATCGTATCGTAGACAATACAACCAAAGATCAGTTGCTACATATTCCAAACACATTCTGAAACTACCCACCCAGCGATTTTAGAATAAAACTATTATTTAACACTTAATTCAAAATAAGGCTATTATTTTAATATTAACAGAATATTTGAAAGTTATAAAATTGATTCTAATATTTATAAGTACACACAGGGTTATTTTTTAAAAGAGTAGCCAAATTTTAAACTTAAGTTCAAATATCTGAACAGTGATATACCGTTATTGGAGTTTATGAAAATACGAGTAAATAAGGCTTCTGCTTTTAAAATTACTTCTACTTTTAATTTGAAATTGTCACAAATTAAATGTGATTTATGGGCAACAACAACTTACGTGTACATCAACGCGCGCTGCTCTGTGTGAGATTCAATTCACGTTTTTGTCGACCGAGCGTCCCTTACAAATGTGTGCGTGCATAGTAAAATAATAGGCGTCAGATATTTATGAATGATAGTCAGTTAAAATAATACATTAAAATTAATTTAAAAAAAAAGGACAGAATATTTGAGATTTTTTATTTAATTTTTCACCGTTTGCCCATATAACTTATTCTGAACCTTCTCTGCAAATTTGGTCGGTTATTGCAAAATAACACTATATACCAACATAACAATACCGTCAATAGAAACTTGACACTGCAGCGTATTTGAGCTTCTAGAGCCCTGATAGCTTAGGGACGTGCAATCCGAGTTTGATCGCTGCCGGTAACAATGAGGTTGTTATTTTTATATTTAAATGCTTATTTTATCACGTGTTACGTAATCGGCGATTGAAGGAAAATCATCACGAGGAACCTGCATAGGAATAAATTGTTTCGTGGACCTGGGAAGTCAGCCAACACACACTGGAATAGAGGGAGGACTAGTCGCTCCATAACCCTTTTATATTTGACGAGGTCTATACCCATCAGGGGAAAATAAATAAGATTTTAATTTTAACAACCACTTGTTCTTTTTCGAAACTTTAATCCAATTTATTTTGACTATATATTTTAGCTGTACTCGTGATTTCAAACGCGCCATTATAATCGCGTCCTACTAATATAACACATAAATAAAACTCAGTTGATCGTTAGGTACATTAACTTCATATTATTGTTAAATAAATTTTATATGCACTGGAGCACCGCGGCGGATTAATTATTCTATAACTCTCTCATAAATATTATTTCTCACAATATTTTAAGTTTTCAAGCTTCAAATAAAGCTTAATAGGCCTGTTTCTAACAGCGGTACATAATATATAGTCTATAACTTTACTTTTTAATATACTACATTGAGATTTATAACAGAAGAAACTTTTAATAAATGTAATATAGTTTTTACCTATATGAGGTAAAACTTAAAACAAGGGCTGACATCTAGAGAATTCTCGAATCCTCGAAAGGGTAATTGACCTCTTTTTAGTTTTTCTTTTAGTTGTTACCTATTCCTTTCGTCATACAAAAAAATATCCTTTGTGTTTTAGATTAATTCATTTCAAGATCAGCTTGTATATATATCAAGACAAGTTGCTTCGAATCAAGAATTGGCATCTAATCAGCTATCCCCTGATGACGTGAAAGACTTTCAAGGTATGAATACTAAAATTTTTACATGCATATACGAAAACACTTTCGAGAGTAAAATAAGCAAGCTCTCGTTCTCAAAACCGGGGATCTGATAGAGTCTGCGTGATACGATAAAAAAGATTGAAGACTTCTACTTCGTTAACCCATTTTTTCTCACGGTTATAAAGTCAGCAAGTTCTATGAGTATAAAATATTGAGTTCGGCATAAAGCCCAACATTCACCAGACATTACGTACTAGTTTTTTTAACATTTTCTAATTATAAGCTGCACGTGCGTCCCTTTTATTTTTTTTTTAGAAATTATTATTTTTATCAAGGCAAATATAGTAAATGTGTTAAAATCGACTAAATACCAAACAAAGGGCATACAGACTTAGATTTTATGATACGGTAAATATGACAAAATCTGCCGTAAATACAACGGTGGCAGGGCCAAGTTTTAAATTAATCGATCCACGGGTCCACTGTTTGGCTTTTGATTCGTGACACAACCATGTATAATAGTTGGCCTAAATAATGAAAATACATATGAATTACTATGAAATACTTCGATCAATAATACTACTATATAATCATTAATCATAATAATCACTGATCGAAGATGAAATATTACGAATTTGAGGAACAACAAATCAGACACGGTGTGACTTCTCTCATAACGTCAAATACATTACAATCCCTGTCGCAAAGTAGACGCATCATAACTGTATTCAGTGTGGCACTGTCTTAAGGCTTTGGTTACTATTTTCATTCCCCGTGCATAGGTACTCATTATTGCAGATTATACGGTTATGATGAAACCGCGAGACTACATCATAACAGTAACAAATCTAAATAACACATCTTAGACACGCCTTGACATGACTTTACCGTAACGGTCTCTCACGGCTTAAGAACCTGCAACTATAAATAATTGATGTTTGCGTGCAAACGCACTATTTTAATATCTTATTTTCCACAAAGTAAAGTAACAGTTTATAAATATCTCACAGCTCGATCGACACTGTTTCTGAATATCGCTCTTAGTTCTGAGGAGTTTTAGGGTAAAGAAGAGTCCGTCCACATTGATAGACTACACGTTTTCTCGTTTTTTTTTAATTTCTCAGACATACAAATTACTCTACGATAATTTTTTCTGCCACGTTCTCTTACTATGTTTTCTTAAAGTCGTAATGGTAAGTTTATTACTATTCACAGGGCTGATGAAGTTATTCCAGACAGTCCAAAACATGCAGGAGGAATTGAAACATGTGCATGAGACAGCGCGTCAACTGGCCGCCGAAAAGGAAGATCGACAGGACCGAATAAACGTATTGAAATATAAATAAACATTTACTAGATTAGACATGATCTAACTAGGAAGTCGAGGCACTTCCTGGACATAAGTTCCAAATTTAAATATTACGTCACTACTTTAAGACTTACTCATCTGCGCAGGAAATCATTAATAGTGTATGAGCGTAAGCGCAAGCACAGGTGCTCTCTTTATTCCCTTACTCTCATAGTCCAATAGGACGTCAATCAGACTCTACCTGAGAGAGGTCGCAGAACGAACAGGACAGGATTTACGTGTTGATTAAAACTACTTTTATGGATTTTATCGCGTTTTATTTATATTAATTTTAATACCCGACGTTTCGGGTGCTTTCCAGCACCCATGGTCACGGGGGACTGAGGTGACTGACGTCCCGATGTCAAAGTTAACCCGGAGTACCTTCAACTTTTTAATTATTGTTTTTGGTCCGATCTACGCAGAATGAACTGACTGTATTTTGAAGTCTTGCAGTGGTATGCTTGGGTTTAGTTTTAATTTTATTAATTATAGGATCCCAAGCAGGTGGTAGTACCCAGCCTCCTTCTCTATTGAAATTAGGATGTTTTTTAATTTCAATAGCCTCACTGTCATCCTTGGTAGGAATCGATGTTCTTTCGCGAGGATTTGTGGTCTATCAAATCTGATGTAATGGTTGGGGCCATCTAGAATATGATCGCAAACTGCAGACTTCCCGGAACGTTGATGCTTCACGTCAGCTATGTGTTCTTTTACGCGGGTTCTAATTGATCTCTTTGTTTGCCCTATATATGAGAGACCACAATCACAATTAAGCTTGTACACTCCTGCATCTTGTAGAGGAATATGACACTTGACGGATGGTAAAAATGTCTGTCTATAGAAAAAAGACCCATACAAACCGATATTTAAATGGCCATACCACTGCAAGACTTCAAAATACAGTTAGTTCATTCTGCGTAGATCGGACCAAAAACAATAATTAAAAAGCTGAAGGTACTCCGGGTTAACTTTGACATCGGGACGTCAGTCACCTCAGTCCCCCGTGACCATGGGTGCTGGAAAGCACCCGAAACGTCGGGTATTAAAATTAATATAAATAAAACGCGATAAAATCCGTAAAAGTAGTTTTAATCAATGTATAGTGTTCGCGTAAATATAAGAAATCATTAGGATTTACGTGTTTTAATAAATTGTAGGATATATTCATTTTAAGAAGATTATTATAAGAAATCTAGGATGACAAACGCGCACACAGTCCACTTGATGGAAAGTAAATGCTGTGACCCATAGACATCTACATCTATTCCCGAAAAAGCATTAAAGCATTATGGTGCTATTTCATGTTCGTATTCTGTGCAAGCGTTGTTTTTCGAGAAGATGTCGTAATATACCACACATCTTCTCGTCAATCTCTGAAAACTAGATTGTACAACCAGTGCGTGTTGCCAGTAATGACTTACGGATCTGAGACGTGGTCCTACACTGCTGGCCGTATGAGGACGCTCAAGGTCGCTCAGCGAGCTATGGATAGGGCTATGCTCGGAGTTTCTCTGCGTGATAGACTCAGAAATGAGGATATCCGCAGTAAAACCAGAGTGACCGACATAGCCCAACGGATTAGTAAGCTGAATTGGCAATGGGCCGGCCATATAGCTCGAAGAACCGATAACCGATGGGGAAGAAAGGTTCTCGAGTGGCAGCATCGTACCAGTAGACGTAGTGTAGGGCAACCCCCCACTAGATGGAGTGACGACCTGGTAAGATATGCAGAAAAGTCGATGGATGCAGGTGACTCAGGACCGTGCTTTGTGGCATTACTTGGGGGAGGTCTATGTTCAGCAATGAACTTGTGAAGGGCTGTAATGATGATGATGATGTGGTTTTTCACGGATCAAGCCCACCATTCGTGCTACAGTCTTAATTTACTGCAGTGGCTCTACCACATAAAACTATTAATGATAATACTAACGAAATAAACATAATAACAGTACATAGCAGTAATGAAATATAATAATCATATAATAAAGATAGTTCACTAATTGGTAGATCTCCTTTTATATCTGTCTTGTTACTACTATGTTACCTATTTCTGGCGTGTTTCCGCGTTTCGTGTTATGGAAAACACAGCATTGTTTGTCCTGCTGTGATCCGGTAGGAACAGGAAGAGTTCTGGTTAGCTACGTTTTAAAACCCATGTTAAATATGGCTATGAAACTATCTTGGCTTTATGATAAATAAAGTCTTATGTTAAGGTCCTACTCCAGGCAGAGACCAAAACTGCTACTTCAACATAGTCTGTCATGACCTTGTCAAGAGGTGTTAGTGCCGTACCTCGGCAAAATTGAAGGTGCAAAGGCCCGATTGTTCACCTGGCCTCACCATGAAACGGCGCCGGGTCTGGGTGTCTCCCGTTAAATGACGCCCATTAAAGTGGATGATGGAACACAGACGACGCGTAAAAGGGCCGCTGCCTGGAGGTCTTGGTCAGAGTCTAATGATAAATAAAAAATATAGCTATTAACATAAGTCTGGTTGGCAAAGTGCGTGCATTGCTGTATTTTGGTCTGTAGGGTATTGAGATCTAGAATAAATACAGATTATGAGGCGTTTATCTTAGTCCTCACAGGTGACCACGCTCTGTAGCCTTTTTTGTTTGGAGTTAGCTTCAGGTGTCCATAAACTGCAATAGCCACTTACAATCAGAAGGACTGTAAATTCGTTTGACACTTCAGTTTCATTTATTTTTAAAACAAGACGGAATATGAATATGGAATAAAAAACTTATGAAGAAACCGAATTTCTGCTGTACCGCATTTCATAATTCACTTCTATGTACAATATAATATAACAAAATGATTCTTCACACACACACACACACACACATACACACACACGCACGCACGCACGCACGCACGCACACACGAACGCACGCACGCACGCACGCTCGCATGCATGCACGCACGCACGCACGCACACACGCACGCACGCACGCACGCACCCACGCACGCAAGTACGCACGCACGCACGTACGCACGCACGCACGCACGCACGCACGTACGCACGTACGCACGCACGCACGCACGCACGCACGCTCGCATGCACGCACGCACGCACCCAACCACGCACGTACGCACGCACGCACGCACGCACGCACGCACGCTCACATGCACGCACGCACGCACTAAACCACGCACGATCGCACGCACGCACGCCCGCACGCACGCACGCACGCACGCACGCACGCTCGCACGCACACACGCACGCACGCACGCACGCACGTACGCACGCACGCACGCACGCATGCACACACGCTCGCATGCACGGACGCACGCACGCACGCACGCACGCACGCTCGCACGCACGCACGCACGCACACACGCACGCACGCACGCACACACGCACGCTCTAACGCACGCACGCAGGCACGCACGCACGCACACACGCCCGCACGCACTCACGCACGCAAGATCCTGAAAATGTCCCATTCTGGTAATAAATTATGTAATTTCGATTGTGTTTTAATCCAGTAAAGCCTCCAATTTATTAAGCAACCTACATATTTTATAAAATGCCTTATAAGGTCCTTATAGCCACGAAAATATTGCAATCATGTTATGTCAATACACATTCCAGAGTCCAATATAATTAAATATATCAAAAATTATACTTCTCATATCCACTTGTCCACGTGCGTATGTTTGGCCTCGAAACCCATTTCGTTTAGAGCTTAATTGCAATGTTAAGTTTTCATTAGAATCAATTCTGTAGTTTTTAAAACTAAAATAACGAACTAACAATACTCATAAGTTAACAATTGAGCAGTTGATAGTGAAGGCATGCCGAATTACACATCATGCCTTTTTTTTCTTAACTTTAATTACGATTATTCACAGGCAATTATAGAGCAAATCGAAATATTAAAAACTGTTAAACTGGACCGAGAAGATATGGCAGAAGCAATAGCTGAGAAGGCTGATCTTCGTATGCTTGCACGGAAAGTGTCGCACGATCAGTTCGAGTTGGCCTGTGACGATTTGTCCAGAGGATTGGAACATACACTTGGAAAACTTAACATGCAGGTATTGAACTTTTCTTTTCCTCGAATGTGGATATTTCCCGTTGCGGTTATGGATTTACTATAATCACCACACTTGCCAGGCGCATTACCGAATGCAGAACCGGACGTCTTGTACCTTCGGTGCTGCTTCCCATCGTCACTCTAATTATTTTGTATTTTGCGTAAACGAACTGGCTGCAATCTAAAGGAAATTCGTTTTCAACAGTGGAAGAGCCACGCGGCAGCTTTTGCTGTCGCACCTACCTACCTGTACTATCCTACTCTTCCTGAGCATAGGTACTCAGGCTGTCCCACTTAATCTGAGGGGGGGGGGCACAATTATGCTCGCGACAAAATCGGCTCACTGGTGATGCCTTATACACCGGCCGTGCCAATATTTTTCGGGAAACCGTCGCCGAGTACCGGGACAAACTTGTGCTTAACAAAGTCTCGGATTGGGGGCGACCCCTTGGTTGTATCTCCTCAGTTTCAAATCACTCCCATTGCTGCCTCAGCTAGCATCAGAATCCTTGGCGTCGATATATTGAATAGTGTGCAATTTTGTGGTCACTTGGAGGGGAAGACCAGATTGGCCCCTAAAAAGCTTGGCGTGCTCAGCAGAGCGAGACAGTATTTCATGCCGGCACATCGCTTGCAACTTTACAAATTGCAAATTTGGCCTCACATGGAATACTGTTCTCATCTTTGGGTGGGGGCACCCCAGTGCCAGCTCCTTTCACTTAACCCCATCCAGTGCAGAGCGATTTGAATAGTCGACAACCGAGTTCTTTCTGATTGGCTCGATTCACTGGCGCTGCGTAGGGATGTTGCATCCATTTGGATGCTTGGCCGTCCACTACTGTACGTTTTAATAGGAGTTTTCTTCCTCGTACAACTGTCTATAAAAAACATCAGGAAATCGGGGATTTCCCATAGTTGCCTCTTGCAACATTCTCTTCACTACACGGTCATATTTTAAATTGAAACTTAATAAAAAAAATAAAAACCTCAGCAAAATAAATAAAAAAACCACGATGCTAAAATGTATTTTAATTTTAATTTGAATATCAAAGTTTGAATATGAAACAAAAGGAAAATTTATAATGGAAACGGAAGTTTTGTTAGCATATTACCAAATTAATTATATACTATCGGTTCCCCGCCACTACTCTTGCGTGTAATTTAGGGTTTTTTATTTTTGCGTGGAATCCTAATTAATTTTCTAAAATAAAAGTAGCCTAAGTTACTCCTCATAACATCAGCTATCTGCCAGTTCAATTCCCATCAAAATCGGTCCAGTTGCTTCGGCGATTAGCCGAAACATACAGACAGACAAAATTTAAAAAAATTGTGTTTTTGTTATAAGTACCGTATATATTTTAATATGCATTAACAAAAGGCTGTTATTTGACATTACAAACAGACACTTCACATAATAGAAAAATCAACTATGTGTAAAATTAACTGCACCGATTGCCGCAAGCCTCATCATAATCGGTTAATCCTGATTCTTAAATTTGGTGAAATTTGAAGCGCTTTGCATTTGAAATTAGCGGGAAATTGCAGGGATGGCCTGTGTAGGGTCAATCGTATTTTTTTATTTACTTATTATAAGCCAGTAGTTATTATAAGCCGCCCCGTGTAGTGGCGGTCAAGAATATCCACTACCCCATATCTTCCCGTGGGTGTCGTAAGAGGCGACAGAGGGAGACAGGCAGGAGATAGGCAGCAGCATCTTCCTGATAACAGCAACTGTACGACAAAAAAAACTGCGGTTGCCAACCCGCTCGCCAAGCGTGGCAACTATGGCAATATACCCCCCATGAACAATTACACAAATAGACGGCCCCCAGTCCCCGGCGGCCCCGCTATTCCTGGCTACGGTGGCGACCATGGTAACGGCGGGGCGGGGGGTGCTAAGAATCTCCGGTGGAGGTTCGGTTGCCACCTAAGACGACTCGACCTGGCAACATTTAACGCACGCACACTGAGGACTGACGAGAAGATCCTGGAGCTGGAAGAAGAGATAGACAAGTTGCGCTGGAGTATTATAGGATTATCCGAGGTCCGAAGAGAGGGGGAGGACACGGTGATTCTCGAATCCGGCAACTTGTTCTATCACCGGGAGGGCGGCAATCTGTCCAAATGAGGTGTCGAATTTTTCATACACAAGTCTCTCGTTAACAACGTTGTGCAGATTGAGAGTGTGTCGACGAGGGTCGCGTACCTGATACTCAGAATCACCAAACGGTATTCGCTGAAAGTCATACAGGTTTACGCACCAACGTCGGCACATTCCGATGAGGAGGTGGAGGAAATGTATGAGGATATTTCCAAAGCCATACATTCCTCCAAAACCCACTACACGGTGTTGATGGGAGACTTCAACGCAAAACTAGGCACAAGAGAAAACGGTGAGCTGAAGTTAGGGAAATTTGGAGTAGGGCAACGGAACCGAAGGGGCCAGCAGCTGGCCGACTTTATGGAGAAAGAGGGACTCTTTATGATGAACTCTTTCTTCCAGAAGCGGCCCCACAGGAAGTGGACCTGGTCGAGCCCCGACGGTTCGACAAAAAATGAGATTGACTTCATTATGACGACCAGACGCCAACTGTTCAGTAATGTCTCAGTGATCGAAAGGGTGAAAATTGGCAACGATCACTGAATGGTTAGAGGCACACTGAACCTAAACGTTAAGTTGGAGAGGTCTCGTCTAATGAAGTCAACGCTCCGTCCCCCTCGTGCTCTGATCCAAAATCCCGAAAACTTTCAGCCCGAGTTACACAACCGCTTTCAGTGCCTACAAGATTGCAATGCAGTGGACGATATGAATGACAAGCTTGTGGAAACTGTCCATGCGGTCGGAGCTAAGTTCTGCAAGACCCGCCGCAGAAGAACACAAAAACTCTCCGATCACACTCTTAATCTCATGGCTGTTAGACGGGAGATGAGGCTGCAATCGTCAACAGATTTGACAGCATACAGGCAACTGAACAGACAGATCTCCAAATGCATGCGGCGAGATTTACGCAACTTTAATACTGCTCGTATTAAAGAAGCGATCGAGCGGAACCAGGGCTCCAAAGTCTTTGCCAGAGATCTGTCTGCCAGAAAGAGCCAACTGTCAAGGCTGAAGACTGAGTGTGGCAGCATCGTTTCCGGGACACCTGAGATTTTGAGTGAGATTGAGAGGTTCTATGGGCAGCTGTACACATCATCGTTGGAGCCACACGCAAGTGTGAGTAACGATCCAAGAGCAAGTCTTATCCGACACTATTCCGATGATATCCCGGACGTCAGTCTAAGCGAGATTAGAATGGCTCTCCAGCACCTTAAAAACGGCAGGGCCCCAGGCGAGGATGGAATTACAGCGGAGCTTCTGAAAGCGGGTGGAACACCGGTACTTGAAGTCCTTCAGAAGCTCTTCAATTCCGTCCTCCATGGTGGCACTACTCCAGAGGCGTGGAGCAGAAGTGCGGTGGTCTTGTTCTTTAAGAAAGGCGACAACGCTCTCTTGAAGAACTACAGACCGATTTCCCTTCTGAGCCGCGTCTACGTGCTGTTTTCGAAAGTCATTACGAATCGTCTCGCACGCAGACTCGACGACTTCCAGCCTCCCGAACAAGCCGGTTTCCGAAAAGGCTTCAGTACCATAGACCACATACATACCCTGCGGCAGATTGTACAGAAGACTGAAGAGTACAATTTGCCACTTTGCCTGGCGTATGTGGACTATGAGAAAGCCTTTGATTCCGTCGAAATTTGGGCGGTGCTGCAGTCCCTTCAGCGGTGCCAAGTTGACTGTCGGTATATCGAAGTGCTGAAGTGTTTGTACAGTAGGGCTACGATGGCTATCCGAGTACAGAACCAGAGCTCGAAACCTATCCAACTGCAGAGAGGTGTAAGACAGGGTGACGTTATATCCCCGAAACTCTTCACCGCTGCTTTGGAAGACGTTTTCAAGCTACTGGACTGGAAAGGATACGGTATTAACATCAATGGCGAGTACATCACTCACCTTCGATTTGCCGACGATATAGTCCTTATGGCAGAATCGCTGGAGGACGTAAGCACTATGCTCAATGACCTCAATAGTGCCTCCCAACGGATAGGTCTTAAGATGAACATGGACAAAACAAAGATTATGTTTAATGTCCATGTCACACCTATGCCGGTAGTTGTTGGGAGCACTATGCTCGAAGTTGTTGACGAGTACGTTTACCTGGGACAAATATTCCGACTAGGTAAGTCCAACTTCGACCGAGAGGTCAATCGACGGATTCAACTCGGCTGGGCAGCGTTCGGGAAATTACGACATATCTTCTCGTCAGGTATACCTCAATCTCTGAAAACTAAAGTGTACAACCAGTGCGTGTTGCCAGTGATGACTTACGGATCAGAGACGTGGTCCTTCACTGCTGGCCGTATGAGGACGCTCAAGGTCGCTCAGCGAGCTATGGAGAGGGCTATGCTCGGAGTTTCTCTGCGTGATAGACTCAGAAATGAGGATATCCGCAGTAAAACCAGATTGACCGACATAGCCCAACGGATTAGTAAGCTGAAGTGGCAATGGGCCGGCCATATAGCTCGAAGAACCGATAACCGATGGGGAAGAAAGGTTCTCGAGTGGCAGCCTCGTACCGGTAGGCGTAGTGTAGGGCGACCCCCCACTAGATGGAGTGACGACCTGGTAAGATATGGAGGAAGTCGATGGATGCAGGTGGCTCAGGACCGTGCTTTGTGGCATTACTTGGGGGAGGCCTATGTTCAGCAGTGGACTTGTGAAGGGCTGTGATGATGATGATGCTGATGAAGCCAGTAGTTGACCACCATTCACATGGTGGAGCTTTGTATGGATTCGCCGTTTACTGTTTAATTGTAGTTACATTTGGTTGTACCCTATATAGGCCACGTCGTCCACGTCGTTTTAATTACAGAGACAGCGCGGGCAAACCTTGCGTCTCGATTCCATCGTGAGACTGCGCTGCAGACAATATTATAAATTGACACAGCCATCTGCCACTTGTCGCGGGCACTGAACACTGATGGCCACTGCAGCAGGTGCCCACTGTGGCCGAAACCATCGTCTCGTTAACGCCGAGACTTAAGGTCTGCAAATTAATTAGTGTGGCGACAATGCACTTTCATTGTAACAAGAGTAGATTGGATTGGCTGAGTAACATTTAGCGCGGGTGACACGTCCTGTTTAATGAAGGAATCGCGTGGACTTCGCCTGTTTGTTCAGACATAGTTGCGAAACGGTGCGATCATTCAATTTGATCCTTACTTCAATAATTTTTCTAGTATTGAAAGTAGAATATCAGTTGAGACAATTAATAACTGTTTAATGCCTAAAGCCTATCAAAACATCCACTGCTACTGATATTTCCCATAATTGCCACGCCTGACAGGTAGGATGACAATTGCAGTTTAATATTTTTAATTATTATAAGGAAGACGCTCCACTCCACTTCCACATTTTGATCCTATACTGTTTGTAAGGTTCAATAAAGCTTAAAAAATAAATGAATAATAGATACCTATGTAAAAATTACCCCCTCTGAAAGTAAGCGTTCTGTGCTGTTGTTGATTACCACTATGTCCCAACGTCAATCAATAGGTACAAATTTAATCCAAGGAGTTTAAAGACCACTACGTATAATCTAAACTATACGTAGTGGTCTTTAAAATTATTGTTAGGTTACTAAATATAATTTCATTTAATTTTTCAAAATTAGTCGTATATCAGTTATACGTATCTTACCATTTGTATTTCCTAAACAAATACATATTTTTAGGAAGCTCTGTGGCAACAAGCTTTGGACGATATTCAACGCGAAATCGAAATGAAACTTGATAAAATGGAGCTACATCCCGTAAAAGAATTTTTCAATAGCAAGTTAAAACAACTGCAAGAAAACCTGAAGCAGATAGCTTCATTACGTCGTGAGGTTGAAGCGGCTGGAACGAAGAAGAAACTATTGAGGTATCACATAACATCTTTATCAGTTTAATTTTATATCTTTATAAGTCCAATTGAAGGTAGGTGAATGTTGTAGTCCATAGATATCTACATCTATTCTCGCTTAAGAACTATAATGCAGAGGACTAAGATGCAATGCCTAATTTCCAGTGAAAAGTGTATTCCTACATTCACCATACGAAAGACAACAGCAGTAAGCTGCTATTTTACGCTAGTGTTCTGTGAAAGCGTATTCCTTCCCTGGTCGAATCAACCCATTCGTACTACAAACATAATAATATAGCTGCAGCGTAACTCTACCATGTTTATGTTTTATTATTATATGGTATTATGATTTATGGTATATTGTCAGGCGGATTGACAATTGCATTACCAGACCTTTCGCAACATTGACGCTGGTACCCATCGCCAATCTGAATATACATTGTCTAGGTCAGGGATTCCCAAAGTGTTCAAAATCGACCCCTTGCGGTCGAAATCGATTTACCAGGGACATAAAGGAAAACTGATTTTGGAGGTCGACGATGTGTAAAACTCAACCACTATTAATTAAAATAATTGGTATTTTTGTCGCCAAACCACACACATTGTTTTCTTGCAATCCTGTCCATCCAAAGGTTGTCTGGAAGAGATCGCTCTTAGCGAGGAGACTGCCCATTGTAATACATTTCTTTCTCTTCTTTTTGTTAACATTTGTGTATTTAACTTCCCGCTAAGAAAATTGAAAATTTTCAAAAATAGGGAAGTTATTGATTTCACCCCGATTTTCTGAAATCGAGTTTCCATCAGATCTCGACGTTTTGAGATCCCAGGAAGCTATACTGACTAATTTCACGTGGACGTCCGTACGGATGTATGTACGTATGTGTGTGTGTGTAACTTTTGAACATCTTGATCGATAGAGATGCGGTTTGCGTTCGTTCGTTCGTTGCGGCGTTATAAAGATCTCAATGAGGAATAAATTTGGTAATAATATGAACTGATTCACACGAGTAGATTTTGAGAAATCTCAAAAATAAAAATTTGGAAATCTTTTTTTTTTTTGGAATAACTTTTAAACTGCTTTACCGATCGATTTCAAAAACTAATCAGCTCTTAAAAAGGACGTCGAATGCCATTTGGAAAATAAAAATCGGTTCATTCGTTCGTGAGATATCGAAGGAGAAAGAATTTGAAAAAAAAAACGTTTTTTTTACATAACTTCGAGATTTCGGAATATAATTTGGTGAAATTTGGAGCGCTTTGCATTTAAAAATAGCGGGAAGTTCCAGGGATGGCCTGCAGGGTCAAACAATTTTTTTGGTCTGCAATAAAGTGTTATCTATCTCTTTCTACCTCTTGTATACGTTCTTGTACGTGTACCAACATGTTATAAGAGTGACAAAAATTTTAGTAGGAAGTATCATTATTGTACTTTTAAAAACTCAGTAAGTCGATAAGCACATGTATTTTGTATCAATAGGGAAAGAACTAGAAACAGGACTTTTGAAGTAATTTTGCTATGGCGGTCTGAGGTATCAGTTCATTTTTGAAAAGCAACAGACCCCTCTTGCTCAAAATAGTTTGGGAATGGTCTAGTTTTTTTTGTTGCTCAAATAAAGGTCTAAACTCATCTTCAGATCATAAACCTTCTATTCATGATCTGAGTATGACTATTATCCCTTGGTTGAATTCCATTTAGAAAAATACTACACTGACGTAAAATATGATTATGTGAGATTTATTATAATGATTGAGGATAAGATAACTGATAGCATAATTAAGGAGAAATAACCTATTTTTTAAATAAAATTGAAGTGAAAAACAAACATAAGATTTATCTGATGGTAAGTGACTAATGTACACCTGCAGCCAATCTTAATAAACAAGGGAGGTTACAAGTGTGTTATCACCTCTAAGAACTACAGAAATTGTAAAGAGATTAGCTGGAGAGAAGTAGTATCCCAGACGGACTGATAGGTAGAAAAATGGTAAATACTTACCAGTACTAGTAAATACCTTGTTGATTGCCAACTTATTAGTAAAGTTATAACCTATACACGTCTCACTGCTGGACAAAGGCCTACGCTCATTTCTGAGAGGGTTTTAGCACAAGGAAGTGTCCGCCGCGCTGCCCAATGTGTGTTGGCGAACTTCACATGTCTTCGAAATATATTTTTTTTTCTTATTTCTCTGACATGCAGGTTTCATCACGATATTTTCCTTCATCGCCGAGCACGAGGTAAATCAGCACTTAAAATTGCAATTAACAATTTCATTGGTGCCGGCGGGGATCGAACACTGTTTGCTCGCGTACTGTGAAATTTACAGCGAGCGCTAACCATCTGAGCTACCACGGCTCTTTCAACTTATTAGTAATAACCAGTAATTATTTTAGTATTAAATATATATTTTATAGGGATGTGAACTGCATATCTTGTGATGCTAAGGCTGTGATGTCAATGGAAGCAGACGCAGCGGTGCCAACCAGCAAGCCTTTACCCGCCTATCTTTCAATGAAGCCATACCTCAGCTACGAATTAGGTCTGTTTGCTAATTACTTCTAAATATACAGAACCAACATCGTCGTGTAAAGACGGTGTAACAGATTACATATTATCCCCTGAGTATCGTAAGTCAACAAGGAATAACAGAATGAAACATGTGATTGGCAGCAACAATTTACTGATAACAACTAAAATAATAAAAAACTGCAGTTGGTAACCCACCTACCAAGTGTGGCAATTATGAAATATCCAAGATGTCTACTTGTACCGCAATATACTTTTGCTTTTTAATGGACATAATGAATGAATGAAAAAAAGTTTTTGTACGTAATTACTAAGTTAAGTCGGAGTGATTATCTGTGCAAAAGTACAAATTGTTAAAATTGGCTGATCTTCCCTACCCCCTATTATACTAGACTGCACTCTAATCCCTTACAGTAAAAAACCTGGGGTTGTATCTTGACTCCTGTATGTCTTGGACCTCACAGGTTAGTGAGGTCAGCAGAAAAATGTTTGCTGCGTTAAGCTGTTTACGTAGATTACGTAATTTCCTTCCCACACCAACTAAAGTTACACTCGCCCAGTCTCTACTTCTGCCTATCCTTGACTATGCTGATATTTGCTATCTTGACATTACCGAGGAGCAGCTTAATAAGCTTGAGCGCATTCAAAATTTATGCATTAGATTTATATTTGGGCTTCGCAAATATGATCATATCTCCGAATTTCGCAAACAGCTCAAATGGCTCCCGATCCGCCTTCGCAGGAATACTCACATTCTCTACGCGTTGTATAGTGTGCTGTTTAATCCTTCTACTCCTCTTTATTTAAAAAACCGTTTCCAGTATCTTTCTCTTACCCATAATCGGTTCCTTCGATCCTCGGTCAATCTTTCTCTCTCTACACCTTTGCACTCTTCTTCCTTTTTCAAGAAATCCTTCACCGTAACCGCTGTGCGATTGTGGAACTCCTTACCTCTCCGTATTCGTCGTGCTAAATTTCTTCACTCTTTCAAAAGTCTTGTTAAATCGTATTATTTAGAACGCTATTAGATAAATTACTTTACCTTTCTCGTACTCTTTTCATTTAATCTATTATATGATATTTTATATATAACTTTCACTTATTTTTATTTGTATGTATTATTATATTATTATATTTTTTATTATTATTTTGTATGCCCCCCTCTATTTGTAACTTTTGTTTGCATCATTCCTCTATGCAAAGGTTGTCTGGAAGAAATCACTTTCAGAGTGATAAGACCGCCTATTGTACATACTTTAATTAGTTTTAACTATATTGATGTTTCTGTATTGTGGTGTACAAAAAAGAATAAATAAATAAATAAATTGTTTATTCTTTTTTACTATTATAAGCCAGTGTTTCACTAAAGCAAGGTTTAGACGAAGCCAGTGTTGGCTGCCAGTTTGACTGGCACCCAGCGCTGGCTTGTTATTGGCCTCGTATAAACAGTTTTTTAAACAAGCCGGCGCTGGCTGCCAGCACTGGTGGGAATAAAGCGCTTGCCTATTTTTCAAGCTAGTGACCTCCGCCCGCGTGCCCCGAAACCCCCGCGCCAGAATAAATAATTTGTAATATAAAAATTTTACTAGTAATATTTTCCATATTCCTATATTTGATGTATGTATATGATAAACATTATTTTTCAGTTAAAGTTTAAAAAATCATTAATTTAATACAACAATTTGCAAGAATAATCTACGAAGGAAATGAATCCATTGAGCCTCATCTAAACAACACGGGCCAGGCCAGCGCTGGCTAGTCTGATCTGAGGACTGGCGCCAGCGTTAATGGCTTCGTCTAAACCTTGTACTATACCTTGACTAATACTGCCCAACTCCTGGTTTAATTTACCTCTATCGGCCCTTGCGACACACACGTGGTAGTGGATTGATATATGACAACTTTATGTACAACATTTAATAGATGCAATACGCAAGACTCAAGCTAGCAACCTACCACAGCGTAATCTTCACGATTGGGAGCATATTGAGAAACAGGTAACACCATCTAGAATGCCGCAAAAAGTCAGGTAAGTTTAAAAATATTTTTCATATTATTATTAAGTGTTAATTAAAAAACAAAATATTATCCTCCAGACCGAATTTCGGTCACGGCGGCCTGTCTTAACGGAGACTAGCCATCGGCGCAGGACAGGTTATAGTGCTCAAGTGAATGCGCAAGGACAGGTGCACTCTCTATTCCCTCACTCTCATAGTCCGATGGGACGGTAAACCGACACAACCGGACAGAAATAAGGTGCAGGACCAACGGCTTTACGTGCTTTCCGAGGCACGGGGTTGGGACACCGCCAACTTCCTATGGGCAGCTACTGAGTATTTGTTAATGGAAAAACTCAAATCTGCCAACCACTAGACCAACATAGCAATCAAAACAAAATATTAACTTTATAATATAAACATAATACAGAAGTACGATAAAAAATATAATCTTCCCCGCAGCGATGAAGTGAACTATAACAAAAGTAAAGTAAACTTACAGCCTATATACGTTCCACTGCTGGGCACAAGCCTCCTCCATTTCTGAGAGGGTTTTAGGGCAAGGAAATGTCCGCCGCGCTGCCCCACTTCGACGAACTTCACATGTCTTCGAAATATTTTATTTGAGCACGTGGTTAAAATTGCAATTAAAAATTTCATTGGTGCCGGCGGGGATCGAACCCGGGTTGCTCGCATACTTGAAATTTATTTTTGTGTCGTGTAGTTTTGGTGGCAGTGTGCCGCAGGTGTCATAGGAACTTGTCCCACCGCCGACGAGGAAGCGATTAACCATTGACTATTTTCTCACTCACAAAACGAACAATAGAGATCAATCCCGTGTCAATAAACGAGACACTTATATTAAAAGTTGATCGCTGGTTGTTCACAGTGCTGGCAAAACTCTTACTCAACATAAACATAATACATAAACGCTCGGCGATGCTCGCTTGGCGGTTGCTCAGAGACCAACCAGCGGTTATTTTACTCTACAGTGCGGAGCTGAGTGCACTCGCTTGTAGCCCAGCGACAAAACTATCGGAACTACACACTCGCTTCCCGCTGTTTGCCAACTCTTATCTAGTTTTTATTTCTACTCGCTTCTTGTTCATCGTTGACTGTGGGACTAGTACCATACTTACTCATCCTTTTAACTCAGTAAAATTGGAAAAATTCACAATAATTATGAACTACAAAACGTAACGACACGTTGAAATTTGGAATTATCTAATATAATTATAATAATAATCAGGACGAGTATTCAAACGTATTTGTATGTAATTTTATGTAGTTCTTTTACCTGTAACTGTCACGAGCACAAGACAATGAGACAAGAGACAATGCAGAGGTAATAAAAAAAATTATGGTCGAGTTTTCTGAAAAACAAATTTAATTCGTTTGAATACTGATTCTGATAACTCACTTAATGTGAACGACAGGGTTTTTGTTAGACATACTATATATACATATTGTATATCGGACCTATCACAATAACTAGCAAAGGAATTTTGACTTGACTGAGAACTTGAATATCGACGGATTAGTTTGAAGTGGATTAAGCTACGTACAAGTAAAGAAATTTTGTGTACAAAGTGTCCGCGTATGTGACCTAATTAGGATGGAAACGACGAACAATAAGTACTATTTTAATTATTTAAAAGGAAAATTTCCTATTGGCCTTGGCATAAGTACAACTATACGAGTCCATTACCAAATTCAAAAAAAAAACTAGCAAACAAATGAGAAGTTGTTGTATAAATAAAGTAACGACTGACACCAGTGACAAGTATGAAATTAAGGGGATATAGTAAGTCAGCTCAAATTCTAATTTCGCCCCCACTTCCCCGCGAGTCGTATGTTATATATACGGACATGTTTGTAATCACTAATACTGTAAGTAGACACTTATTTCATTAGGTTTATCATATTTATGCCTGTTTCTTAACGCCAAGCCAGTCGCTTCTTATTTTTATTACGGTTATTTCCCATTTTAATTTTACGTCGACCTTGCGTAATGTGTATTCTGATCGTAAGCGACACAACCTCCCCCTTCAAAGGCCGAAGCGAAACTGATCGGGCGGCAGGAATCACGCTTCAAGAGGCCGATAGTTTAGGTAATTACTTTTTACAGTAAAAATAATAGTATTTAAAAAAAAGTAAATAACATAAGTACTGCTTTATAGTTAGTTCAGTTAGTATGCAAAGTTTCATCATCTTATTTAAAGTATTTTGTGAATAACAGCGGTTTATTGTTTATTTTGGAGGTAACTTTGGATTTTTTTTCTATCGAGAAAATTTTACGGAATCGTGTTTTCGTCTAAAATAATCCTTAACATTAATCCTCAACTTTACCATATATTTATTTCAAAATTAATGCTGCAATATTTTCGGAATAACGGAGGATCTTGCTAAGCCATTTGAGATTATATTTCCTCTTAACGGTAGCTCACAAGCTCATATAATTTAACGAATAGTAAACATGATTTTATTTCACAAAACATTTTATATGTTGCACGGCAATATGATACAAGACACGGTATCATATTTTATTACAATACCTTTCGAAATGTCCTTTTTCTAAATTAAATGTTACCTAATCCATTCACTTTTACCAATTTCAATTACGATCTGTTATACGGGGCTTCACGAAATGTCTTTTAAAAAAAAACTATTTAGAAATTGCACTGGATTTAATCATAGAAAGACACAAAATAAGAATTGAATTTTGAGAGGCGAGTGTTTCAGATGAGAGTGTATGACGGACTGGCTGGTATTGCTAGTCTTGTAATAAGAAGGTACTGAAGCTACTAAGAGAGTGCTGACTGTGTGCTTTGTGTCAGCGGATCCCTAGTAAAAGGGGATCTATAACAACCCAACTTGGATTTTGTAGGGTGTCTAGTCGTTTGATAAATTGATCGTAATCAGTGTCATAAGATTTTAAATTTTCTAAATTCAAAGTTTTTACATTTATAGAAGACGTAAGGTTAACTGAAAATTTGTTAAAGTTACTTAACTTACAACTATCATTAATTATATTAAAAT